AGTTTGCAGAGCCTGTTGGTGCACTCGGGACCCTGACACATACATGAGGAGACACACTTATATGAAAAATCCCAACTGCTTATGCCCCAGCTGACTGAATTTCAGAATCTATGTCCATTCTTTTTTTTAACATTAGCAAGCAGTGCCTAAGCTTTCTTGCCTATTAGTGCTGGCTGCTGGTGGGCGTCACATCGCGGAAGGCGTTTGGCTACCTTGGCCCAACTCTTTGGCCACTACCCTTCCCCCCCCCCCCCCCCCCCCGATTTAGACTAATTAAACCTACTGAAGGTATTCTATAGAGCTAATTGACCACCTAACAAGATAAACATAAATATAAATGGAAGAGGCCTTACAGGGTCTCTACTGCAATACTGATTATTAAAAAGTATCCTGCACAATGGGATTTTCTATTAATCTGATACCAGTGAGGCTAAATAATTTTCTTTACCCCTACCTATCACACCTGAACACGTTCACGATGTTTGAAAATAAAGGCAAAAGGATCAAATATTACAGCTAATAATCACGGGAGCATTTGTATGCATACATGTACATGTTTGGAGGGAAATAAGTGACACTGATCAACCTGGCAGAATTTGGACCAGTCTGTAGTTAGCTGAATCTTTCTTCTTTGTCATTCTTGAAGACAGGACTGATATTTGCTCCCTTCCAGTCTTCACGTACCTCTCCCAATTGCTATGACATTCAAAGATAATTGAGAGTGGCCTTACAATAACATCAGCCAGCTCCCTCAGCACTCGTGGGTATGTTTACTTAAACAAACACGCAGTTTGTTTAAGTGCTCCCCAACCTGGTGGTCCTCTACCAAGGGTAAGTCTTCTTTGTTCCACACTTTCCCTTGGGTCTCAGGGGCTTGGGATTCCTGAAGGCTAGTTTTACAGATAAAGACTGAAGTAAAGAAGGCATTGAGTACGTTGGCCTTCTCCAAGTCATTTGTGACCAGTTCCCCTGTCCCATTCAGCAGTGCAATTAACTAAAACATCCTCGTAGGTATATATTAGGAAACACATGTTTATGTGACAAGATCTTTTTCCTAACCTAGAGGTGTTTGGTTTTTTTCCCCTCAGTTTTTGTTTGTTTGATTTTAAAAAAAAAAACCTGTAAAGACGTTCTAAATGACTTCACTTTTCTTTTATCCTGCATTTTTTGAAGTGATCGCTACTCACTATGGCCCTTATCTATAACAAGGTCTCATTTTCACTCCTACCATGTTCAAGCTCATAGCAGACATAATTCAGTCATATTACCCATGCACAATGGGCTCTTAAGCTGAATCAAGATTTCCAATAATATTAAATTTTTGCTGGCAGAGCAATCAGTATCTGAAGAAGATGCCTCTACTTGTCTAAGTATATCTGACAAATCCAACCATATTTCAGATTATTAATATTTGTTCAAGTAAAGGCTTGGCATCCTTCGCTTACTAGTTTTTACAGCTCTGCTTCAGAGTTATTTCTCATATGGAATTTGGATGAAAGCTTTACTTTGCAATTATTTATTTCTCTGCAGAGGAGTGATAGTGTTATGAAATGTCACATAAGACTATTGAAAATTATTTATGTTACTGAAAATCTTGTTCTTTACATCTGAAATCTATAGGCGGTCCCTTTAAAAGTAATGGACAAAATTCACGTGCACTTTTTTGACCTACAAATACCCTTCCAAGCACTAAAGCATTATGCAAAGCATCTTTTTTGCATGTTGGAGTATACCTGTTGCTTGTCTCTGAGGGACCTTTTCTCAATTATTCTGCTTACTCCTTCCCTTTCACCCTTATTACTTACGCAAGATTAAGTTTTGCTCTATGCAGAACCTTGTAGTTAGTTGTTTTTAAATTATTACAAACTCTAGTGTTTATCAAATACAGTGGGTTTAAGATATTACAGGAACTCCAAACCGATAAGCATTTCATGAAGGAAGTATTTCTAGTCGATACTAGCTAAACATCCACTTGAAGCCAAATGGCATTTTTATAACAGAGTTCTTTGTTTCTCCTTTGAATCCTGCAAGATTCCTCATTTGACTGAAAAAAAAAATCTTAGTACACACAGGGTCCCCATTCAGAATCAGACTGGATAAGAGGTGCTGTAAGTGAGAAATGGCTCTGCAGACACACAGACATTGGCAATTTGATTAGGAAAAGTCAAACAAGTAACCACATTGCCAGTCATGTGTCGTTTCAGGGTTATCCATCATCGTAAATACAAAAGCTAAGGTGCAGAGAAGCAGTCTTATTACTAAAAGGGTCGTGAAGAATGCTGCAAATAGGTGACGAGACATCCCCTTGTGACAGGCAAAAGGTGCCCCTTGTGGGGACAAGAAATATTTCCTTTCAAAGCTCCTCTTGAGCTTCCCGATTGGGAAATTCCAGAAACAAAGCAATGTCAGGGTTCTTCAAATTCCTGTGGATGTAAGATGTGGGGAAAAAAGAAGGAAGCTGCCTTGTACTGCTCAGGTTATTGGTAGAAATACAGATAAAATCCTTGAAAAATTGGTAAAGAAACTGCAGTCGCTTCCCTGGGAAGTTAACAGAAAGACTATAATGAAAAACAGATTTAAGAACTGATAACAGTAAGAATGTGCCAGCAAGAATTAAGAAGACTATACCTCAAGATATAGCAGTAACAGAAGCAAAGTAAGCAAGAACACAGAGCAGCTTCCCTACACCTGCTTTGTAACAAACATACTGTGTAATTAAAAGTTAAAGTATCCGAGTTTTCAAATCCCTAAATTATACCTCTCAAGTAACCTCAAAGATGCAAATTCCCATTTTACTAATTTAAAAATCAGTAATACTTATTTAGCGGTTGCCCCACTGGTGCTTCAATTTTCATCGCCCGCTAGGAGGATTTGCTCTTAGCCAAACCCCTCTTAGACGTGTTAATTACAGGCAGTATTCAAATACACTCGGTTTGAAAACATTTCATCTGACCATAACAAATTCCACTGTACTCACATATCGTATAGAACATGCCCTTATGTCATGCTGTTTTGAAATAGTTGCAATACTAAACGCATGTGGAAGTACTGTCTGAAATTTTAGGTTGAATGCTCATTTCAGGCCAACTGAATAAAAATATTTTTGTTAACCACTTTTTTTTCCTTTGACAGATGTGTTTTGAATATTCAAGAGAAGTTAAGAACAGATCCCAGAGAAACATGAGAAAAAGGCCAAACATCATTTTTATGCCTACTTAGATGCACAACATTAATTTAGTAATTATTAATAGCTTCCTGTATGTTTAGCTGCTTCACTTCTATGGCATTTTTTTTACATGCTGTAAGATGCAAGTGAGCATCACACCCGAAGCGACACCAATCATCCAGTGATTAATTAGGAGTATGAGGCTCTGTACCTTGGAGCAATCATTTACAGTATTGATTAATAATGTGAAAACTTCACTTCAAATCAGATGGAGAGGAGCAGGCAGCTGAAGTTTCACGTGGAGCCGTGACGCTGCCCTAGCGTAATCTCTGAACTCATTCTGAGAGCACATCCAAATGTGTGAAATATATACTCCAGCCTAGTTAAAACATAGACTTGCTCCAGCTCTGAAAAAGGCAGCGTAGCCTGGGAAGCCTACGTCTTACAAAGGCTTACTTCCTAAAGTAATAAAAAACCCCGGAAGCCATCATTTGATAAACCCAACACCATAAGCTGGCAGGGCTACGCAAAGCAGCTGCCTCAACCTCCTCCCCACTAGCGGCTGCTAGTTCTTGCCTGCCTCCCCAGTACCCACTCAAGTGTCTGGAAGGTGATCAGACAGGGGAGTAGGTCCAAACAAAATGTAACGCCATGGTAGTCTAGCCATCAGCTGGATGGATCAGTTCCCTTGATCTGCCTTACTATGCAACTGAACAAAAAGCTACGTTGATGCAAGGCAGAAGTCAGCGCACTGACTTCTGGGTAGGAGCAAGCAGCTAAGAATTGAAAGAACAGCTCCTTCCAGGGCCCTGTTGGCTACAGCAGATCTACACTGTTCAATGAATTAGTTCCATTCTAATTGGAAAAGCCTGGTGCAGGATGTTGCCCTTTCCCAGCTCTGAAAGCTTCTCCTTATCTTTGGAAAGCAGCACAGGCAAATGCCTGGGTTAATTCAGGGCATGCATGGGGTGGGACCCTGTTTTTACTCAAGGGATTAAAACTGCACTGAAGTTGCTATGGAAAATTTTGTAACAATTTAGTTTCCAAGGGATGTTTTTCAACCCACTAGAAGATTTTGCCTTCCAAATACCTTTATGCTATTTGCATCAGTGACTCAGTGTGAGTCAGCATGTCAGCTACCTTATGGAAAATTAACACAATTGAGAATAGAACAGCTGCTACTCAAAACCAGTAGCCAAGCTTCAAATATATACACCAGAACACTCAGGATACTTTAGTATAACAACCTACAAAATAGCATTTGAAATCCAGAGCAGATTTTTTTTTAATAGCTTGGCTATATGGTAGGAATGAAAATAACCGTTGAATAGGAAGAATCGATCACTAGCACTTTGTGGTAAAAGAGGCCTATAATACTTACGGGAAATAATTTGAAGGTTCTGAATTTTAAATCTAAAGCTCTGATTAAAGCAAGTATTTACAGCCATGTTCAACAGCCCAAAAACCAAGTCCATCATACAGCAGAAATGATGATACGCTTTTTGTTGAAGCAGCAGTGAGAAAAGGATTTGGCAGGTGAAGATTAAAATAAAAGCCCTCCACCTCAATTCACCGCCTGAATTATGATGAAGACAGACTGCATGTTAATTAAGAGCGGCAATCTTATTTTAGTCATATTACTGCCACATCAGGCAATGAGAAGCTTTTTATAGTGTACCCACACCTAAATGCATGGTTACTTACACCAAATGGGATCATTCCATTTACTCTGGGGTATAGTCACAAAATCTGGGTAACATACAACATATATTAGAGTGACAACAACATGGTTCACTAAACCACCCTTTACTTGATCATTTGTGCCCTGTAAAAACTAAAACCTCCCCTCTCCCACCCACCCCACAAGACAAGTCACGTATGAATATTAAAAAAACCCCAAACCAACCCAAAAACCCAAAACAAAACAAAAAAAACCCCAAAACGCAAAAACCCAGTTGAGTTAGTTCCAATGACAGATTGCATTTGCAAGCCAGGCAAGCAACTGTTCATTATAACCATTAGTTACAATCAATCCCAAGTGATTATATCCACATTTCACCTTTTTTCTGCTGCAGTAGCGTAAGTGCCTTAAGCCCGCCACCAAACGGCCCTAAGCCCACCACCAGGCCTCGTAACAGAAACTGGTACAAAACTTACAATCTTTTCCTCACGTATGCTATTGCTTTCTACAGGCATGCTGCTGGCATTAGTTCCTGAAGGCACAACACAGCCAGCGCAATGCACCCGAGATGAAGGCATGCTCTGCAAAGGTTAAGACACACAACACATCACACAAACCACAACTCTGACCACAGCGCTAAACACGTGCAAGTTAGAAAGGCATTAAGACGGGATGAAAGTGAAACACCCATGCTGGCCACGTATACATCAACATTCAAGTTAACAGGTAGAGAAACTCATGCGCTCCTCCCAACAGAGTTTTAGGTTGAGGAATAAAGGTCAGAATTATAACCACTCTAGAACACTGTTTCACAGAATTACGTTTTATCTATGAAAAAACACACCAACACCTTGCTGGAGAAAAAAAATGCAGGTTACTGTTACTTTAAAATATAACAAGTACCCTGTAAAGGAGAGTACTTACCAAGAAGTGGAAAAAAACCCCAGTGTTTCACGTAAAAAAAACAAACACCAAAACCCCACCACATACAATGAACAGCCTGATTAATTTTACCAGAGAATTACAACGTTCTATTGCAACAGATGCATGCTGCACACGATCTGCCAAGTACACAAAATCACTTGATCTCCTTTAAAAAAAACAGGTGGTTTTCAAAGATTACCTCTTGACTAAGCAGAGGTCGGCTTTCAAGCGGGGTCTTCTTTTTATGTTCCTCTTTCACTGGCATTAAGGGCTTGAAAAACTTTGGTGGCTGAGGAGAAAATGCTTTAAAAGGGCTGGCCATTAAAGCATGGGAATTCTCTGCTACACCACCTAGGTAAAAAAGCAAAAATACTGTATTTCAGTTCTTCATATCTTGACTGCAAGAGCATAATTCAAAATAACTGAGGGTTAAGCCATCCATTTGGCAAGTTGTTGGCTACAGAAAAATGTCAGTATTTAGTATTCAACCACTGGCCCAAGCATGAGAGAACACAGAGCTCAACAAGGGGAGATTATGCCCCTCTGAAGTCTGGAAACAGAAGGAAAGCAGAAAATAGCAGTATCTGCCCCCTCCATTCTGAGGCACCAATATTTCTCCTTTTCCTCTCAGTCATAAAAACAGTGGGAAGCGTCCCTGAAACTGGAACTGACAGCTCTTTGCTTCCTGTGCCTCGCCTGACCTCTGCCCACAACACTGCAATTCTGCCCTGGAACCAAGCCAGCAATCCTGCACGACCAGGATGATCGAAAAGGAGATTATAGGCAAGGAAGCAATGAATAAACTCTCAGTCCCGCTTTACTGCGGCAGTATCTCTACCTGTATTGCCTGATCAAGAATAGCATGTTACAATTTGACCTAGAAAATTAGGCACCTGTGACACTGACACAGCAGAGCAAAGATCCAAACCATGTAAAGAACCTGCAAAAGGACCCTTCCTACTTTAATGAAAGCATCTTCATTTCCAAATTCATAAAATAACAGCAGCTCCTTTTTGGTTTGTTTGTTTGTTTTCCCTTCTACTATTTTGATTCACATTTAGCTTGTTCTTCTGCCCTCCTCTTGGTTTTTTGGACACCCCCAACTTCCCACATCCTTTCCTGGATGTCTTCACGCCTTTCTCCCTTTCTCCCCTACTTCCAGATTATGTTTAGCTGCTAAAGCAAGCAGCTGGATAATGCATTTAGTAGGAAAAGAGCACTGAGAATTTAATTTTCAGTTTAATGCAGTAATTAAAATCCCCAAACACTGTCGTTACGTATATACTTTAAAGTCTCACCACTGCCATCTTTGCTCTTGCGAGGTGACTCCCTGGGTAAAGTACCATAGCATGATACATCTTGATAACTGGAAGAACAGTCAGATATATCTAGGTGACTTTCAGACCAACCCTAAGAAACAAAAATACATAAACATGCATGCTGATACAGGCAAACATGGAAAAATTAATAGGTAAACTCAAAAGTAGGTTGTTTTTTTAAAAAACCAAACTGAAGGAATGTCAAGTTACTGACTTAAGACAATTTTGTCTCACACAAATGGATTGTTTAGAAGCTAATTAGCTTTTCAGTGAAGTATATTAAGTTTTGCTATAACTTCCCCCTTCTTAAATATCAGTTTCTACAATTCTAATATGAAGAGCAGAGAAGGACAAGAAGGTTTAATTCAAATTAATACGTAATTAGTGCAGCATTTTGAAGATACATTACGTAAACAGACCGTTAAAAATACTGTTTTCCTATTTTTTTCAGTTCTCAAATACATCTTGTTTCAAAGAGGGGGGAAAAAAAAATCTGAGAATGTGTGCTGTTTGTTGTCACATTTACATACCTTATCATCTTCATCACAGGCAGAAAGATCTAGTCGGCTACAGGATACCTACAGAACACCAACAGGCAGAATGACAAAATGCCTACCTTTTATTTATAAAATATAATGCCTTGAGGAAACACCGTGATCATTTAGTCCTAACAACTTTTCTGTTAGCTCTTTTCAGATAAGATTATTTATAAGGACAGCTATGTTTGTGCTGTGTGAGTGGGTGACAGAACACATAAAATGCACACAAAATGGAAACTATCCCTTACACTATGAAAAATGTTAAAGGGACTTTGAAGTAAAAGTAATCTGCAACAGGGCAGTTGTCATCCTAAACTACTTCCAAAACGAATATCCTTATAAAAGGAGAAGAGTTTTGACCAACCCTCCCACTTCCCTGTCAACTTCGTTATCTCCTAGGATGGACAGTTGTGGGGAGGGGTTTTGAGTGACTCATTTTCATTCATGACAACTTTCCTACAGGTTGGTTCGTCCTGGCTCAGAATAATCATTACCATATCACATTGTGCAAGCATTACATCAGCACACAAACGGCACCCCCCTGCCCCATTAGTACTAATTTACCAGAGGATAAAGGGTCCTTACGTTGTGGACATTTGGAGTGCTGATGCTTCTGCGGATGTTTCTTGCTTTGGTGGAGAGCGCCTCTTTGACTGTGACTGCCTGCGTAAAGAAAAGAACACACTAAAAACAATGCCATGGTCTCCTCATAAGAAATGATCAAGCAGGATAGAAACTTTTTTCAGCGTGGCTAACAACAGCAAACAGGGCTTGCATTTACAAATCTTAATTTGCACACACAACCGCCAAAATTTGTATCTGAAATTCATTCTTTGGCCTTTGCCTGTTCAGGTTCTGCATACTACACCATTGTCAGCTACAGTTACTAGACCCACCACTATTGGAATTCTGTATTTCACAGAAGCAACTTAGTCTTACATTTATCCATCCAATGTTCTCTAAAAAACCCCAAACTAAAAAACAACCTACACAATATTTTTAAAAGATCAATCATCTCTACTTGAATTCTCATAATCCAGTTCAAAAGGTCCGAAAAGTGCCTTTTCCTTGCCTGTCTTAGTCGTTCAAGGCTCAAAATGTTCTCCACTTGCAGCACACCACGTGTGTATTTTTCAATGTACGTTTCACCATCGGATGTGCCCTCATTCTCACTCCTTGCAGCCATCAGCGCTAAGGTCTCGCGATCCTCAATTTCTTCTGTAGCCTAAATTACAAGTTACACTGTTGAAGTTTTTAAAAATTAAAGCCTATTGTTTTTAATGTATTAATTCACTTCTTTAGACCATCTCAATCCAGAAATTAATTTGAATCAATAATCCTTAACTTAATCAGTAATCCTAATTGTAATCAATGATCCAGGACTTTTCAATACAGGTGTAAGTGATGCTGAACTAAGAAGAGGTCATGCTTGGGAGAAGTTTTTGCACATTTGCTGCAGTCAATGTACTTCTAGAAATAATGCATATATAACCTGAAATTGCATATGTTAAGGATTAACTAATGACAACTTCTTAGGCAAGTAAATGCAACTTCCTTCCCAAATCTTAGATATTCTGTGTGATTTCTCTAGACTGTAAATTTTAAGTACTAGCACACAAAAGTGACAAGACTATTTACATTTTCATTTGTCCAGTTTTTTTACCTTTAAAATAAATTTTATAGTAGATTTACAATTTGTACAAGCTTTTTCTATAAAAAGCAACTTATATTCCTGTGAACTCATTTTCCCAGCTATTCTGTTTTCACTGACCTGAACATCCCTCTGAGTCCCCTCTATATTCTCTCTGTAGACACTAACACGATTTCAAAAATAGCCCTACTACAAGAACTCAGTTAAACACAGTAGAAGAGAAAATAAAATCCCTACAGTTTTCAACTGTTTAAAGATAAACATGATCTCACCACTGAACTTCAGGATATACACTTTGGCAAGCTGCCTCCTCTTAGCAAAGCAGGACATTTACTTCCCAATCAGTATCACCAACTGCAGTAGGTCATTCTGTTCCTTTCAGTGAATTAACCAGAGCAATATGGTACAATTTACCTTTGGTATATTGGATACTATTTCATAGGTCACTCCACAGGCATATTATATATTTTTCAAGGATATTCTCCTTTTCAGGCTCTGGGTAAAACTCTAGAAACAAAGTCGTTTTCAATTATTGTTTTGACAACAATTATTTATGACATTGTAAGAAATAAAAGGTTGCAACGCAAAAATTTATTTTACAACAAAAGCACATTTTTCCGGACCGTAAGTTCCTTTTTAGCATTAATGATCCTTTAAGTACTCTTTACAGCCCTGCACTCAGTATACAATGCTACTAAGTTCAATCAGTAACATTTTCCTCCCATTTTGCACTGATGCTCTATCCTCGTGTAGTAACTTGTAACTGAGAAACTGTGGCTGTAAGAAGTCTCTAATGTACAGACACCAACATTTCTTATTTCATCAGCTATCTGTTCAACAGGTAGAAAATTCCTTTTGCAATAGCAAAGCATAAGTCTGCTTTCTAGCCATAAATGAAATAGCGACTAGAGTTTTCACTGTTGTAATCACAAGCTTCGTTGGCAGGTTAGTTAGCCCTTACATCACTAACTGTAAACTTCGCTTTCATCTAATAAGGCATTTTAGACAAACAAAACTAGCAAAGGACAATACAACAAGTACAAAAAGGCATGGAATTCAGCTGCTTAGTAAGTTGCTTAGTGGTACGACAGCTGTTTTGTGCTCCTCCCCCCATTGCACTGCAAAATCTGAAGCAATTCTGAAATATGCTCTTGGTCTCAATCACCTGGGAAACAGAAAGGAACATGATTTCAGAGAGCATCTCATTGCCTAAACCCGTGAAGCAGCAAAGCAAGGGGAACAGCGACCACTCTTGCAGCCACAGTAAATGCCCTATCCAAGATCATGATGTAAAAGTGGGTACAGAATGTATACATTTGGGTAGTGGCTGGAAACAAACCTAGTTTGTAATTAGCAGAGAAAGTAGCAAAGAGAAAGAAAAAAAGATATATTGTGTTTACACTGAACATTTGAAGGCACCAAAGATGCTTTCAGGAATTTAGCGGCTCCAGTGACCCTATATTAGATAAGCTACTGCAAACTTCTCTGAATCAAAGAACATTTCGAGTTGTATAGACAAGAAGGTAAACTCCTTTTGTGTTACAACAGTAGCACCTGTTACACTCTGAACCAAATCAGCTTGAAAAATGGACAGTTCAAAGGGATATACCAGAAGTGCACAGCGTCACTGCAACCTATAATAACCTATTTTTCATTTGTCTTTCATAAGAATTGAAGGGACGAAACTTACACAAAATGAAGCAAACAGCTAAGAAAACACATTCATAAAATTAGGGATAGCAAACAAAATTAATAATAATAATATATTAACTTCTTACCTGCTTGTTATAAATATTGGCTGCAATCCTTTTGCGTAGTACCAGTTCCATTGCAGCAGGATGGCTAAGCTGCACAGTAGTCTTCACTATCAAGTAAATTCTCTCATTTTGAGGAGTTACCCTATTCAGGTGCACTGAATCATGGACAGAAGAGTCCCAAGCAGCAGTGGCTGAAACCTATGCAGACAAATGAAATGGCGGAAGGAAAGGGAAATCAAAGACTCAATTACTCTAACAAAAGGTATAATTTGCAGGGATTTAACGTGAAGTAAAGCAATTCTTTAACGAAAGAAAAATAAGCATCATTGAACAAAATGGGGTCAAACCTTCTTTTCATAGTGAGGAATTTATCAGAAGCAGCATAAAAGAGGTGTTAAGATATTGGGGAAGACAATCGTGAGCACAACCCCTGCATTGTGCAAACACTGCTTCAGAAGTAAGTCTTCACACAGAGGCAGAGAGGAAAGCAGAAGCAAGACTGGAGGTTTAGCAAATTCAACGTCAAATCTTCAATCTGTATTGGATTAGGTTATAAAGGCCTACACAGAATAAACATGCTCCTATCCTGCAGAACGTCTTTTTCCTTCCCCCTGCATCCTCCCCAACTTTGGCATCCCGTTTATTCTGGAAATGGTCTCTTAAGCAATGGCCTGAGTTGGCACAGAAGGTGGAAGAAATGAGTTAAGAAATTCCAAAATGGATTCAGAACCATTCATTTCCAACAACTCCCAAACTTTATATTTAGAAAAGTAATTGTGTACGACAAAGCAAAGTTTTATTTAAACATTAAGCTTTGCCTAACGTGCACAATAAATGAAGTAGTTTTCTCTGAAGAATCAAGAGTCTGCAAGAGGAATGATGAAGGGGTGAGGAAAGAAGAAGGGATTTTGAGTCAGGCAGTTGAATTACTCTTTTACCAAGAACAGCTAAGACTTGTCACCTCTGAATTAAGGAAGAAGGGCTAACAAGTCATCATCCTCTTAAATTTTAAGCAAATAGGCCAAAAAAATAAAGGCAGCACTAGATATAGATGGTACTTCCAAGACAAAAATATAATAGTGATTAAATACATACAAGTACAAAATAAAACATATGAAGAAAGTATTAACATAAGCTGCAGTTGTCAAGAAGGAGGCTTGCTAACAATTTACCTCATCATCACTGTGTTTTATGATCGGCAGATAAAAGAATGGACTCCCATGCTCCTTTGGTAGTATTGAGTTAACTCCTGATGCATGGGGACCTGTAAGTTGTTCATTGGCACTGAGGTCATCAGCTAATGAAACAAATGTGCAAAGAATGAGATAGTTTTATACCAAAGGATATTAATATATAGAGACAAAGTTGTAATACAAAGTTGTAATAAAGTCCTACCCATATTTCATAATACATTTAATCCTAATTAATCTTATTACTATGCAATATTTTGAAGACAATTTCAGCACACAAAAGAAGGGAAGTAAAACCAGGCTAAGACTCAGCCTGAACACATTCTCACATAACCTAAACAGAATTCAAAACTATTTCTATATTCATAACATTAACTTACCCAGCCAGAAAATTTCTGATTTATCCACCTGTCAGCCTAACCAGCTTATCTCTTAGTTAAATCACTTCTGATGTATCAGGGGATCTTTAAATTGAGAAAAGCAGTTCTGGCTACATTAGGCTTTTAGCTAAACAAAAAAAAAGTTGTGCAATGATCCCTCAATCTGTTTAAATATCCTGTTTGATCTTCTGTCTGCTAATCTCTGCTGATAATGAAAAAACAAATAAAAATCTTTCTTGTGAGCATAAAGGAAAGTGTATATCATTTTCCAAAAGCAGCTTCTAAAGCAGGTATTGATGTGTTGCCTATATAAACATCTCTAGTAGCCCACTGAAGTGCTCGATGTGACAAGGCCTGTGGATCCTCCTCTGCTTTATGTCCAAGTTTATACTTATAGACTTGTTTCCTAAACAGTCCTTAAATGTGGTGCTAACTCTAGTCTCGTGTTGCTTACAGTGTATCTGTGTCCTGAGAATATATATCAATAGCCTTCTCACATGTAAAACTAAATACCATCAAAGTGAGAACATTTATATTCTCTAACAAAACGCTCACTGTGGTCCAAACACTCTTCATTAAACCAGCTGTTTAAGCCTCTACAGATAATTATTCCGACATACGGAATCAGAAGAAAAATCATTTTACAAGCCGTATCAGACAGTGCCATTGACAGGACTTGTTTTGATTTCTTAGACATTTCAGATTCATTCTTCCATTTATCAGTTTATTGATCCAAACTAATTCCCCCCCCCAGGTTTCTTAATCTGCCATTACAACATACCATTCAAATCAAGGAAGAGGACAGGTATATGTGTTTCCATTCCTGCAGGTGGAATCCTGAAACAAAACAAACTAGTGTCAACAAGGAAGGCAAATACATACCTAAGCTAATTTGGGCAAACAGATCTCCATGCAAGATTCATATTAACTGTAACCAATGACTAAACCTGTCAACATTTTGATGGCTAATTTGAATGCCTATGTTGCACAGACCCAGTTTTGTTTATCTACACATGCAGCTAAATGTAGTGCTTTACCAAAACTTAATTCACACCGCACAGCACATTTCAGTTGCTGTGAGGATGACAAGTTTTAAACATCCTGTTCTGTTTCTTATAAAGTTAACTGGTTGTAGTCATCTCATACATAAAGGTTAGCAACCTTTCAAACAACTGGATATGTAACTAACTGGCAAGGCATAGTCTTTATATCAATAAATACACTTTTCGCTGTATGACCACAGCACACTTCAGGTATCCACCTGAAGGGAAAAAAAATGGCGAGGAAAGATTATCACTACATCATTCACCCAATGAAGAAGGGATATTAGCTATTATCAGAGACATCAGTGTACACTTGATTAGAGCTGTATTTCTTGGCCACGCTTTCCCAAATCTAACATATGCTGCATTCCTCATTTTTGAATGTCAGTTCCAATGATCTTCGTTAAAACACAAATTTAAATGAAATTAAATGAGAAAAGAGAACACAACCTTTAAAATCAGAATTTCTTCCCTCCCCACCCCTTATCAATGAAATTATCACATGTTCTACCATTCCTTTTTGAACCACTCCTTTTTTGAAAGGAGTCAAACTATAGGATAATTTTCTCAGAATTTTGAAAAAGTGTAAAATACTGTGTTCAATTCAAAGGTGATTTTCAAACCTTGAAAGCTATCTCAACACTACTTTATATACCATGTTAACTAAGCAAACGTTTCTTACATTCAAACCAGCACCTGACCTTCTAGCCTTCTGCCAGCTGAGTGTAATTGGTAGCATTACAGGAAAACATAGAAAGCTCTAAAATATCCTCAGATTTTTACCTTGTAGCGTGCAATGTTCATGTAGAAAAAGCTAACCACTCCAATGGTTTTTCTGAACATACCAATTTGCGGGGGCACCGGGAATTCCACTGCCTGGTGCTGGAACAAACACCGCATTCCGCTCTTCCGTCAGCCCTACCCACTGTTCAACCAGCCGGGCTTCTCGTTCTATATCATCCTCAGATTTTTCTACAGTGGAAGATATTAATATTATATATGAGACATTTTTCGTGGTATAGGGAATAAAGTACTTATGACAGGGACTTTAAGCTTCAAACCTTGTTTATTGCTGATCTTTTGAATCTGCTCATCCAAGTATCCTCTGCGTTTTATCAATGCATCAGACCACCTTTCTCGTACGCAGTTTAAATCTTCTTCCTAACATGGAAAGAGAAAAGAAAGTTATTAGGCTATGTGGTTAAGATTAAAGGGCAGTGAATTTTGTGATTATTTCATCAGAATTGATATTAAACAGCTTGCATGATGCAGAAAACCTTTTTCTCCCGAATGACATGCACACTGATTAAAGTACCTCATCACCCACGAATGGAAGCTTATTTGCTTTCAAGTCTCAAATTCCAACAGGAGGAAAAGAAAATGTGACTGCCTCAGTTGCTAAACAGAATTATACACCATAGGCTAATTACTCACAGAAGTGGCAATCAAACTTTTTAACAGCATGTGGAATAGGAAAAACAGGTATCATCAGTTGATCATAAGTTCTCCTGAAGATTAGACAGGTCAGTATGCCCTCAAACCTGCACAAAATTCCATTGCTAGCAGCTGCTATCAGTGCAATTAAAAGATTTCTCATGCAAACAATACCCATCATGCAATCATGCTTTGTGGTATCACAGAAAATCTGGTTCGTTCTTCTCTGTGATAAGTCAGGAAGCGCATAAACAGCCCGCAAGAAGTTAGTACCTAACTGGTATCTTTGAGATTGCTGTAAAACCTAATACATTATCTTAAGGGATGTCAGCATTCCCACCTAACTGGTTTTACTTCTGTAAAGCTGCCTACTAGAAATAAGACTTCCTTGTAGAGATCTGTAATGTGTTTTACTTTTTTAGGCATTTCCTCTTTTGCCCTTCGTCGCCTTTTAAATGATTCTTCTGTTATGCTTTCTAAACTGGGACTGTCCTATATTTACTTATCACACAAAAAGCCAGGCTCAAGGTTTGTTTTTGTGTAGATAAAAAAATTGCTTCACTGAAGCTTCTGTATTCCCCACACTCACATCCTCCCCTCTCTCTCCCACTAGCATTTCAGAAAACTGCACAACTTAAAAGGTTACGATGTTTTCTTTAGAAAACAAAAAAAACCCCTATTCTGTATGATTTGGTTGGGAAAGATGCCTGCAACTGCAGGTGGCTGTTCTTTTCCCTATGATATTCAGTGGCAACTGTTTTCATTTTAAATTAAAGTTTCTAGGCTTTTATTCACATAGCAATTCATGTAGCCAGTTAGGAGAGCTGACTGCTGGGTACTAGAGAAGAGAGCACACTGCAAGAGTATGAAGTCACAAGGTAAACCGAAATAGCAGTGTTTTATAGCCCAGGTAGCTTCTTAAATGCACAGCGTATATATATTTCAAAGCCGCTTTTGCTTGCTCCAGTACGCTTGTTCATTTGAAAGTTGCTGGCTATTAGCATTAGCTGTGCCCCATGCCACAGGATTGACAGCAACAGCAGCAATACCTGGTAACTATCCATATCACCACCATCATCCTCCTCCTTCTGGTAGGAGAAAATAAATTTTGTAAAACACAAAAGAACATGCATTTCTCTCAACAGAAACTCACAGAAATACCCCAAAAATGAATACAAACATTTCTGCCACAAACTTATAAAATGTTAAAATTACAACACTCAAATAACCAAAGTCTTATTAACAGGTAGAAACAGATTTTTTTTCATTACAGACTATAGCATCTCATCCATGATTTGAGTATTAGTGAATATATTTATAAAAAAAACAACATAGAATACAGTGCCAGAAAAAGGACTGAGCAAGCATATCACCAATCTTCACGTTTTACAGTTTCATCTGTATGGTTCTGAATGCAACCCTTCTGACAAAAGACACCTCGCTTCCCTGGGTGGCCCATTCCACTTGTTCTTTGCCATCACTGTTAAAAGCATGCTTTACTTCCAATGTGAATTTGTCTAGTATCAGTTTGAAGCCATATATACTTCTTAAGAACTTTTTCTCCTAAATGAAATAGCCATTTCACATTCAGCGATGGCTATTTCTGATTCTGATCAAGTAACAGCTCAGTCCTTTTTGAAAAGATAAACAGTATCTTCACCATATGACATTTTCTCTATTCATTTTCCTTTAGGTTTTTTTCTGCTTTTCTCCTCCTCAACTTTCACCATCCTTGTAAGGGACGGAAACTAATGGAGCTAGGAATCTACTATTAATTACACAAAGGTAAAAACAATTTCCATATTGCTGCTGGTTTGTGTATGCTCAAATACCATACTTGGCTCTTTATCAGTTACACACTGAGTTATAAAGCAAAAAAAGCAGCAGATTTAGCACCATATGCTCACATTATACATATTAGCCTCCAACACATGTAAAACTGCAAAATTACGTATCCTGTATCAGTGTGCTAAGGTCCCTTATGGAACTATGTTGGGCTGGCTCTAGAACAGCAAAACAAAACCAAAAAAATAAATCAACGCATGAAAAAGTAACTGTTTTACCTGGTAGCTGTCCAAGCCCCTTTGCAGTTTGGTTGATCTGGCCGTCACACCACCTATGGAGACTGAAAGAATTGCTTCTACCATGAGAGGCAACGTTCCCGAATGTTGTACGGGTTTCACTGTCACCTGAACCCTGCGAGAATGACCCTGAACAGGTAATTAAGAAATAGAAAGACAGACAGAAAGGGAGAGAGAAAAACAGAGAGAAACTAAGAATAAAATTAAGACTCAATTTAAGCATGAATAAGACGACAGGGAAAAGATACGTACCTGCCTAAGCTGGAAAATCCCCCCTGTGTTTACATCTTTCGCCTGATGGAGTTCAACTGCAGTATATTCTCCCATCTCATTCAATTCTTGTATGGAAATCCACATTTCTATTCTTCGAGTTACTTCATTCCACCTAAAAAGACATCCCCCCAAAAACTAATGGTTGCCTCACCAAACTATGTTTCGTGCACCACAAGTATTAGAAAGCCTTTGGAAAACCGATGGAAGCATTCACGTGTAATTTATTTGTACCTGTCTCTCAGTGTCCTAGTTTTAGCATGAAGAGAATCAACTTCCCAAACAGAGCTGCCATTGCCAGTACATCTGTGACCCCACACCTCAATAGCAAGAGCTCCTTCTGAAATGAACTCCAAAAACTCCTCTGTGACATTCACCACATAGTCCTGGCAATGAGAAAAACAAAATGACATACAATTATTTCATTTGATTGTATCTCCTCAACCAGTTTGTAAGGATTGACATACAATCAAATGAAATAATTGTATCTCCTCAACCAGTTTGTAAGGATACACCAAACAACTAACTACCTGCATGGTAAAACCATACAGTTTGAATCATAAAGCTTGGCTCTGGTCAAGAAAGTTGTGAAACATATCATCTCAGCAACTCCTGCTTCTGCACACTTCATTTCATGCTCTGAAAATTTCCATAAAAACAATGCCACAGCTCCAATGATCTTTTTTAAGTTACTAAGCTTACCATACAAGTATATAATAAGATGTCATTATATAAACTATAGTTTCCCCCATGCATTACAGATGACATCTGAATTTAAAAGACGACTAATTAAAAGATTTTTTCATTTTGCTGCATTTTGAAGAGGTGATGAAGTGAAATATTACGGCATTCTAAATTATAATCAAAAGTCATTGGTTATATGACTTGAATCCTTCCTTCTTCCCCCAGCGAAATAAGGCTCAAATTCTAAATAGCTTATCTCAAACATACCATCCTCCCGGTAACAGTATTTCATACTAAAAATAGTTACCTTACAGTGAGAGAAGGTCACTGTAAAATGAGCATCCTTGCTCTGAGGTGAAGGCACATCTGGATCTACCACTGGTGCCGCTACTGTTGACTTGCATTGATCCCAAAACGTATATTGACAGAAGACAAAGTTAGAGAGATTAGGTGGCAGTCCGGTTGCTTCTTTTATTTTCACCTGAGAAGACAAAACAGATGTTCTCATAAATATGATTGTTTCTTCTTCAATCGTAAATTGTTCAAAACGTAAATATTTAAATCCAAAAGTACCAACAGCCAAGAAGAATTTTTAAAGGACACCCTCCGATTGCTTTCTACAGACGTCCCTATTTAGGAAATCTTTATTTTTCCATATACAGAAATGCAGATGCAAGGAAAGCAGTTACACGCATCTAACTAGCCCACCCATGTACATGTCTTCTTTGAGGAAGCTGATAAGCTCAAGTGGAGAATGAAGCACTTCATCACAGAAGAAATGAAATACAGACACCACCTGTAGATACTACATTAGATGATCAAACAAACCATAGGAGATGGTTACACGGAAAAAACTGTTTCCCCTTCTGTGTCTGCCAAGAAGGACAGTCCTTATAACGTCAGTAGTTATGACATAGACCTGCATATACTAGAAACTAATGTGAATTAATTCAGCCACTGGCAACCACAGCCAGTTAGACTGACCTACACTGAACCGGAACACGAGAAGTCTCTCTTTCCTCTTTAGAGAATTTTAAGCAAGCAACAGCCCACATAGCTTAGTACTTTACATCAGACCGACTACATAGTTACAAAGGCCTGAAACTGTTAACTTCATCATGTGTTCTCACTTACCCTGCAGGAGAGCTTTTTTGCTCTATGGATAATTTCTCCATTGTTATCCACGACTTCCAGACTCCCACTCTCACTGGAGTTCTCAGATGAGTCATCTCCTTCTACTACACGTTCTGGGACAGACCCAGTGACTCGCATTACTTCAACATGCAACCGTCCTGCAACCTAAGGCAAGACAAATACTAAGAACCTGCGCACAAGGGACTTAAAGACATTAAGATGGTAAATATCTAACTCTAGGAGGTGTGCAGAAACAGAACTGAACACCCCTCAACCACCAAATGAAAAGCAACAATGTCAAAAAAGAGGAGAAAGGAATAAAAAAAAAAAGTTATTTGTATGCAGAACTACTGACCTTTTTAATTCACACACAACAGAAAAGGCATACAGTGTCATGACTGTACATCAGAACCTTAATATGCTGGGTTTTGCTCAGTTACCTACATTGACACTAGGAATTTTATTCTACTATTTTAGTAGCTGGGCAATTGTAAACAATTAAACAGAAAACATACACAGCAATTTGCAAAACACTTACTCACTGGGAAACAGGACACTACGCATCATTCTCTTGTTAAAAAAAAAACCAAACAACCCTGGGCGTACAGCAAGTCTCCGAGCAAAAAGCCACGTTACCCCTGCAGGCAGGAGCACCGGGGCAGGCCCGGCCCGCCGTATGCCAGGGCACGGCTTGGCTTTACCTCTCCCTGCTGGCTGATGATGGGCACGGCGTACTGCAGCTTCACCTCGTAGAAAAGGCACTCCAGGAACACGTTTGCCACGCCAATTAAGTTGTGATTCTCTTGCGCTTCGTAAAAAGGATCACCTCTTCTGCCAATGAGCTTCCTTATCTGTTTTAAAGGTCATAAAAGTTATGTCAAAAACTGTAAGCGTGGGAACGCAAAAATCAAATAACCACGTAGTATGAGATCATGGCACAAAAACTAAGTCACTACCAATCTTGTCTGGTCCTTCCTGTTACACAAGTAGAAAGAGTCTAGAAGCGTATCACAAATCTGAAATCTTTGAGATGAGACATTATACAATCCTTTCTTTACTATGGGATACAGTAGTACGATGACCTACAATTTTTTTAGTGATGTCAAGATGAAGCAGATTTTACCATGAGTGAGCATAGCAGCCATTGAGTTCAAGAAGTTTCACCTTACTTTTCTGCTCTGTTTACACTCTTTAAATGAGAGGACGAATCATCCCCAGGTTGAATAGCTGGTCTGGCTGCTGGGTACCACTACAAGGGCAAAAGGGAAAATGCAGAATGACTCCCACTTAAGCCTACAAGTGTTCTTATGACTCCCATAGAGCTGAGATCACATCTGCAGCATTTTCTACACAAGTACCCCATACACAGCCACAAAGAATTCACGCAGATTCCTAGCACAATATGCACTCCTCAGTGGACTTGTTAGCTCCTTCCCTTCTTCTCCTCCTCCTTCATCTTCAACACATGCATTTGACCTACATGTTTCTATGTAGCACATAGAACGTGCATTATGGATGATGTAGGTCATGGCAAGGACAAACCTAGCTCAGGCAGACGTCATATATTCAAAGGATGTGCTACCAGTTCTCACTAAAGTCAGCGGCAAAATCATCGTTGTCTTCAATGGGCACAGATGAAGTGCTTGACCTCCCCTGTGTTATGATTTTACAGATTCCCACTGTCCCACCCAAGGCATGTAACAAAGGCACAACAGCTGTTCAAACATATTTGAGAATGATTCTTGATACAAGTAATTTCGGTGCTCCCTATCAGCCACAAGACAGCAAGATATACTTCCTATGCCCTTCCACCTGGATACTTAAAGGACGTCTTCCGGAACACCAATCTCATGTCTATCTCTTGCCGGTAAACAAGCAAGCTTTTGACAAGTCTCACGCTTATTTCTCAAGGCTAGCCTACCACTTAAATTCTCAGGAAACACCACTTAGTTTTGATGGAGATACTGATGTAGACTAAGTATCCTGAATTGATTTCTTCACTGCTTTAAGGTTGGGGGATATAGAAATGAAATTACAGAATAACTCACGTTTTAAGATCAAGTTCTACCCCACTAATGTGTTCTGCACCTTGAATGTATCTAAGCAGCATCCTTGCTAGTTTTGATACTGACTGCAATTTAATAATTTTATTTCTAACGCAGTTTGCTGCTTCCATTCAGAGCTGGTGCCTATCTGCATAGCACCTATATTATGCCAGGTAAACACATGCTCTTAGTGGTATTATGAGTCACTACCTCAGCACAATTATATCTGACCTCAGCACACTTATATCTGAGAATACAAGTGAGGATAGGACATAGCTGTGTTTTATTCTGCATGGGCATTCTGAGTATTTAGTAGTATTCATAGTTTTTTGGTTTTGTTTTTTAAACCACAATACTTTACCATCTCATATACAAAGTCATTGCACTTTACCTGTACAACATATTAAAAGGGGTTAAAAGAAAACAAACTCCATCTCTGATCCCTTTCAGAAAATATATACAATACCTCAGGAATTTTCTCCTTCCACTCTTGGTAGAGGTCTCTCATGTCAATCAATTTGTTCTCTAGTTTCTCAATAGTCCACACTTGAGTACCTTTTCCTTTTCTTCTCACTTGAATAGCAGGCTCACTTACTATTGCACCCCTCTAAATCAGAGGAAAAAATAATCACTGCAGGAAAGGCGCATGTAAGTAGTTTAACTCTTCACTCAATTTGCATTCCTAAAAAGGAGTAAAATACAGAACATACAGCTTCCCTCTGCATGTCAGCCATGCTATCTCTGTCCTCAAACCCAGCATACCCTATACATCTCTGAGGATCCAGACTTCTTTGTCCTTCTCAAAAAACTACCATTCACACAGGAACATTAACACTCTCAATCAAATCACTTATGACAAGCATATTATTCTAATTGCTAGCATTATATTTACAGCAGCACTACAACTAGAAAAGCCTTAAGACAAAGAAATTGTAGGCATCTGTAACAAAAACCAGTAATTTTTGCAAACGTAACTAAATGCAGGTTTTACAGCAACAGAACACAAATGTCTGTTCACAAACTGCATGCGCATACGGTGATCATACACTTCAAAGTACAGTAAGAGCCATACTTAATGCTACGTTCCCATTTTTACTTATAATTATTCACTTTCAATATATTGAAGTCAGGTAGCACTCATATTTTGCCTATGCATAATCTAACAAGGGAAACATGTTATAGCCTCAAATCAGATGAATGTTATATATATCTACATATTTTCGAATAGCCATAAAATGACATTTTCCAACATTCTTTGCTGTCATTACCTTTCTGTTGGCACTGAGGTTTTCAGCAGGGATCTGAAGTGTTACTTGATAATCTGTTAGTTTACTCATTTCTTCTGCTAAGAAGTTTGCTTCTCTCACCAGTGTATTTGCCTTTACTATCTGCTCTCGAAGTTTAGCCAGGCTCTGTCGAAACAATTCATCCCTGTGGTGCAGTAGGTAACATGAAAAATACACAGAAACCTATTTCTATTATTGGAAAGCTGCAAATAGAGGTGCTAACAAAGACTTTTCTGAAACAAGTTGAAGAAGAAATGCTGTATAGCACTGTCAGCAAACACACATTAAACAAACATTACTGTTGAGATAAGTCTAGCACAGTAATGCCCAAATAAAAGAGCACAGTACTATGGGAGCTGTTACAGTGATGATTTCTTAAAAGCCCTAGGGACATTCCTAATTTTCAATAAATGAAATAATTGCAGCTGTCTCTGTCTTTAATCTGGAGTCCTGTTCCACAGAAACTACCAGTCCCAACATGTGAGACCTCATCTAGATAAAACCCGCTCTTCCTCAGATCATGATGTTGGAACCTGCAATCACTGCAGGCCACAGCTTTACATCACAGCTAGAGGCTCTGCAGTGCTATAGACCCCCAAGATCTCCCTCCTTACACTTAAGCCATCTCAAGTGTACACATTAAAAAAAAAAAAAAAAAATCTTAAGTCCTATATACCCAAAGTACCTTTTAAGTAATAGATGAATGAGCACAGGTTAAAGCTTGTGCACTCTGTACAGCTAACAGTCTCGGGACAAATTCCAAAAAGGTTTCTGAGGCCTGTCTGAGCAAATCTGTTCTAACATAACACCTGGCAAACCTGCTATGACACATACTATACCTCCACCTGCGATACTGAGATACACTCTCACCTGGGGTTCTCATCTTTAATTTGCCTTTTAAAAGTATCATGATTATCCTCTGAGCAAATGTGAAGTACCCCTTTCTGCTTTTCTTTGTAATCCCAACAGCATTTACTGAATCTCATCATCTTCATAAAACTCATGATCAAACTTCAGATATTTCAGTGACCAGCACTCCCCTGTATGATTTTTTAGCTTTTCTATGCAAAGTCCTACTGAAATACAGTACATGTTGTGCACATACACTTCTAATTTCTACAAAATACATTACATTACGGACAAGCATAAGAGGAACAAGTAAACTCATGGGCCTTGCTGTGAACACAGGCAAAGTTTGCCTATTTGCCTTTATTCAGATAAGCTTAGATCTTTTGTACGTCTTTATAGTACAAACCACAAACAGCTGTTAATATGCCTTTCAGTCCCCAGCAGAATTCTTCTTGAGTGGCTATCTTTTTTCAAAATATCACAAAGAACAGCTGGGTAATTCAAATTGCACTCTGCTGGTTCCCTGACACCATACCAAAGTGGTAAACGACCAGCAGTGTTAGAAGCAGCCCTGACCTTTAGTGCCTTCAACATGCTAAAACATGCAGCTTTGTCTCTCTCCTCTATCTGGCCTAAGTTTGCAACAGTGGTGGGTTTTGTTGGATCTTAAACAGCTCGGATTTTTAGTCCACTTCCTCTGTATCTGCTCCCGGCATTATACGGAAAATTCCTTTCCCTCTGCCTCTTGCTTCTGTTATCCAGGCCATCAAGATTAAACGAGCAATTCCAGACCATGGGAGTGACACATTCCACAGACAGCTATAATTTTGGATTCACCCAGGAGATGAAGGTAGAGTCAAGAATTACTCACTAAATAGTACTTAATACTGAGAGTGCATTACACCTGCAACCACTGCAAGACAGCTGCCTAGCTTGAGAAACAGAAGGCAGCTTTGATCTGTAAGTGCTGGACAAGCCACGGGATTCAGCTACTGCCAGTCCCTTCCTCGATCCCAGAAACCGCCATCTGGTGAGCTTTTCGGGGAGGCTCCCACACCAATCTTGCCTTAGCTAGATTCTTGAGAAAGGAATGGTTTAACACTATAAAGAGGACTTATGAGTAACTCGACCAATTATAATGGGTAGTTCTGATTACAGTCATGTTTTTCTTTATATAGCTGTGCCAGCACCTTTCCAGAAACTTAAGCAAAAAAAAAAAACATGCTTCAGATAGTAAGAATTAAGAAATCCTACACAAAACATACAACAAGCTCCATCAGGATATTAACTGAAGCAAATACTCACTGAACATGAAATCCTGAAACAATCATTTAAACCAAACACTAGGGAAACTTACATCTGACACTCACAAGGTGTCATTGCAAGTCTCTGTGATTCCTAATGCCAGCTACAGAATATGCTGAACTAAAACCATGGTCCAGTACACCACCGCCCTGCCTCACCCCGACAAATTAAATTTGTTCAAAGTTACAACGGGTTAACTTCATGCCAGCAGGTTTTAACACCAGGTCAGGTATCATCTGTCCTTCCATAGTCAGCATAAAGCAGGAATAAACTCTGCGCAATGTGTTCTAGCTGATCTGACAGATACAACCACGTGCCTACATCCGATACCTATCAAATTAATTTTGCTGGCCGATCCGGTAGAGCTCAGCTTCATTTGCAATGGCAACAGAGCAACAGCTAAAACTGCACTAATCAAATCCCATGCAATCCAGACACTTGGCTCTTTCGCACGTTCTTCACATCCAGTCATCCCATTTTTTCCTGCATTTCTTGCCCTCTGGCCAGTAAACACCTTCTCAGCACCATGTTGCCATGCTTTTACAGCAGAAATCCCTCAAAGATTTTTTTTCTGGTTTCTTATTTAAGAAGATTCAAATTTTTTGCCCTTTTTTTTTTTCAGAAGCCCAAACCTCTTCTAGAACTATAAATAAATAAAAAGTATACCTAAGAGGATCTTCTGGGGGACAGGAAACTGATAATTAGTTCTTCCAGAACTGCTTATTCAATGGCAGTGCCACCAAAACATTATCAGACTCCTTACTGATAGCTACAAAGAGCATTCATTCTCCTCTTTTTTAGAATGCAGCAAAGTACAGTCTTCAAGTAGTTCAACAGTTTACTCTATATGAGTAAAGCATTTACCCATGAAATCCAGAGGCAAAAATGCTTGTTCAAGGCACAGCTCCTCCTAAGAAATGTCTAACAACTATTGAGAAGAGAAGGCTGGCAGAACACTTAGCCTTGATATCACTCCAGATTCTCATTTTTTATGTCATTACAGGATTGTGGTGGTTGGCTAATTTTAAGTTGATCAGTTACAATTTTTTCTTCTCAACTCTCAAGGACAGGCAAGAATTTTTTTGCTCCTTCCTTTTCCCTTCTGTTGCACTTTTTAGAGGTATGGCTTCCCTTGCCAGTAAGCCCGGATCTCATCTCTGCTACTGAAGTGGGTTATCAATGATTTCTTGCTGGCCTTGCTGTACTCAAAGCAGTTCTGAACAGCAATGATTCCAACTAGCGTGTTTCTCATTTTGCACTCCTTCCGCAGCCCTAAAAGAGCCTGCAAATCCCAACTATGACTCTGCAATGCTTTACATTCAGTTCCCAGTGATTCTGTTTTTAGCTCTTACGGGGCAAACAATTATTTTAATTAAAGTTGAAACACGCTTCCCCCTATACTTGCCATGGAAAACATTCTAGTCATCACTGGTCAACAGTTTGTTATTTTTTAGGGTTTTTTCCCAGGCCAAAGTGGGCAGAAAGTACAAAACAAAACCTTGCACAAAAACAAGATCTGTTCTGTTCTAACACTCTGAATTTGAAAACTACAACACAATCTTGGCTACCTTCGTTTAGACTCTTCTTGTACACGGATTTTTTTTTGTTTAATGGTGGAGAATAAAGCAAAAATAATCAAAATAGGAAAGAGCACTCAAACTCACTACATATAGGAAAAAGGCTGAGTGAATAATGAAGTTTCTGTTTTAAAAGAAAATAGATTAAAAAGAAACTCACAAGAAACCTGTTAGTACATCTAGTCATTCTTCCTGCTGAATTAACCCAATGACAGAATACTCATTTGTATGCTGAAAACTTAAATCATCTCGGTTGCTGCCCCTAGAACTTCTCTCCATGGAGCTGACATCCTTTTCCCCCCCGATGATACTAAAAGCAAGCTTCTCCCATTGTCAAGATGCAAACACAACACATGCTGCTTAAACTCTACTCACATCTTCCTAGTCAGCTTTTTAAACTCCCCCTGCAAATCTCACGACGATCCTTCACCAAGGCTGCATTCAGGTGCCATGCTATTCCTTTGTAAAGAGGCCTTTTCACCTCATGGCAAGCCTTTTACTTCCTAAACAGCTCAAACATACTCCATTTGACTATTCTGCAGTTCTCCAATACACAGCAATCCTCTTCTAAAGCTGGGCTTACTTTTTGAAACACGTACATACAACATTTAAGGACTCGCATTTTCTGGGTTTTTTATGGGTTTAGATTGCGAAATACCATGCTCTTATTGTATACCCTCAACACACAATACTCCTTAGTGGACTCCTTAGTAGTCTGAGTTGACAAATTTACCTCTGCACTACCCTTTCCTTTCTTTCCAGAAGTAACTGAAAACAATAATCACTAAACCAAACATTCCAGAAGCACTTTTCTAATTTAAAAAAACAACAACAAAAAAAATGCTATAATGCTCATCAATAAAAGCTACATTCTTCATTTGTGTATTAAATCAAACAGGAAGATCTTGTACGCATGTTACACATCAGAACCTAGTCCTAAATGAAATGCTCATACTTTGGTACAGGCAGATCTTGTACTGCATGTCAACTCTACCAAAAAATATTGTAAGTTTCTGACAAATGGCTCAAGTCCCATCTTTCACCCTTTGTAGTTCTTAATTCCTTTGTTTTAAGTCCAGTATTCTCACCTCTCTTCTGTCCAGAGATTTACTTTCTGCTGTGCAGTCTGAGCAGTGTAGGAGAGTCTGTCGCTGCCATGCTGATGCTGCCTTTCTGGAGAGAGCTGCTGCCGCAACAGCTCTAATTCACGTTCATACATCAGCCGCTGCTCCTCAAGAGCACTCCGCTTCTCTTCCAAGTACTGCTTCTCCAAAATCTGGACCACATTTTGTACTGGGTCTAAAAAGAAGAAAGAAAAAAAAAAAAAGAGAAAAAAAACAGAACAGTGAGAAAATGCAATTTCAGCATTAGAGAACACCCATTATTTATTTGGTAACAGCAATGAACATGTCCCAGAGTCTTTGCAAACACAAGATGGCCATTGCCCACCAAAACAAAAGCCAAAATAATAAATATTGCATTAAATAAATAAATCCAAACAAGAAAAAAAAATACAGCATGCAAAGAGGCTAGAACAATGGTTAAGACCCTTGTCTACTGCATACTTCAACACTGTGAAGTTATAGTATGTTCCAGAATCCCAGTAGGAAAAAAAAAGAATACATGGAAAAGGGGACAAATTAATAAGAAGAAAACAAAGCAAAATACAAGGGAAGATGATGTTAACCAGAGAAGGAAACGACTTACGGAAGTGAAAAGCAATTTACTTTCTCCATTTTGGTAGAGAATGAAACATGTTGGAGAGCTGCAGATGAAAATTGAGACAAACAAATTGCCTGACTAGTCAAGCATCGCATTGCACCAATGTGCTTCACAGCACTGAAGCAGACAAAGTACCTTCTGGAGGGGATTTCTGCATTTAGCTTTACAAAACACATTTCACCTCTGTATCAACCCAGAACAAATATCCATTTGGATACTCTAACCTAAAACAACAACTGCTTGTGTCAATCAGCTACGGTTAAACCTAAATTGCGTTCAAATTAAAGAAACATTACTCTGTCTATTCCCAGGTTTAGGTCCAATGCCAGACTGTGCCTCTGAAAGGGCAATTCAATGCAATAAGCTCCTTCTATATACTACCAGTATATATCTGTTTCATGTATATAGATCTGAAAGCTTAAATACAACAACAAAGTGGTTTGCAAGAAGACCAATCTAGATGAGTATCTGAGTGACAGCACATCACCTAACAAATTGCTGATTCTGTACATCAGAAGGGGAAGGGAAAGGAGCTCCATAGTTGGAGTGGTGGATTATTAGGGGAAGCAACATTGCAGCTCTAGGACATGCCAGGATTTTCAAATTCAAAACACTTCAGCTTTAAAATAATTGTTTGTGATACCTCTTCCATTTTGCAAATATAAATAAAAAAAGAGCTGCTATGACTTTTAAGGATGCCAGTCTGTCACAAAGGAGGGAGAAAAATAAATCTAGATTTAATTACACCGTCCCACTTTGGAACTAGAGGTGTGCTTCTCAAAAAAAAAAAAAAAACCAAACCCAAAAAACACATCAGTGCGATTTAGTTATGAACCATCTTGCCTTCACTACCAAAACTCAGTCCTCGTAAGATTTTGTACAAGTTTTCCTGATACTACAATGCTACATGAAACAAGATTTGGGTTACTATAGCATGCAATAGAGGATTCACATGAAAGGTTCTATAGGGTTTTCATCACTAGCAGTGTATGTTGGTCACCATAACATGTACACACACTCTCCCAAAAACCACATCCCCTGTATCTTCGCAAACCAATGTAGCATTACTGTACTTAGTAATCTATAACAACTTACTTAGTACTAAAACTACTGAGACCAATTTTGCTAAAGATAAACTAGCTCACTGTCTGCAATTTTAACATACATGGCCATTGAGGCAAGTCACTTCATAAAACAAATCCTTCCTATTATAAGTGCCAGAGAAGCAAACAGGATCTCCAGGGTTCTGTTGCTACAGTGGGTTTTGTATTTGCCTCTCAGCATCCTTTTTTGAAATACTAAGATTGATGTAAAGCACATCTTTATTTTTAGCAGAAAACAGACACTACTGCAAGTTGCTACTGCGGCCCTAGCCTTATCCATGGAAGAAATCACTGGCTTCACACAACGGCATCATAAAATACCACCACGATGGTAATCATAAAGCACAAAGTTAAAAATCAGTCAGTATAAATAGCAACCAAATAGCAAAACAGTGATGCATAAAACTGTCTTAAAAATAACCAGAAATATTACTTTTTAGTACGTGACATTCTCACAAAGACAGTTAGCTATTTTTAGCTTTTAAACAGACAGTGCAACAAAAACAATTCACTGAACCAAGTTCTAATATTCTAGATGACAAACCAAGTTATTATGTTGATCTGCATCATCATTATCCTCCTAACTCCTCCAGATAATACCAGAATTACCTTCACATGCATAGGTTTTACTGCATAATCCCTAAAACAGTTTTAGTTATGTGTAAGAATGGTTGAGAAATCAGGTATTACACAGAAGATAGAGAAGAGGCATGGAAGAAATTAAAAGCCTTCTATTGTGTTTGCAAACACAGGAAATGAATCTAAGGCTGACTCATTAAGACAAGACTTTCCTAAACTGCTCAAAGACCAGCTCCGAGTTCAGGGAGCAGATTTCCTTAACAAAAGCGATCTTTTCAGCCACCTAGACTTACAGAATCACAGCCACCACAGGATCAAATTATACCATGGAAAATATTTGGAACAAGATGCAAGAACCTAGTCTAAAAATTCCCAATTTCAATGAAATCCACTACTGTTTAGGGGGGGAAAAAAAAAAAAGGTGGGTTATGCTTATATTGAAATGCAAAAGGTAAATTTACACTTTTAGAAAAGTCTTCGATTTAACTTTGGAAAGAGTTTACACTGAAAACCCCAAGCCTTTCACAGTGAAAAAGCAAAATATGGTGTGAATTATAAACCATCTAGTTAGAAGATGAAAAAATAAAGTCAAGTTTTTCACAATTCAAAAGAACTACAATAGTGTTTAAGTTAGATTTAAACACCATGTTCCACAATTTTGGATTTCTCATGCAAAGTCAAATAAATTAGGGAAGATTCTACCCAGTGCCTGCCAAACGCACAGCAAATTCCATACAGTGTTAAAAGTCCCAAGTCCCAATCCTTCACATATTTATGTGACGAGTTCAATGGCCCTGAGAAGACCATTCATATGCAGTTAATCCTCTGCAAAATGTTAGAATATTAACATTGAACCAGAAGAATGTACTTTCTCCATAGGATGAGCAGCATTTATTACCTTGCTGCAATGTCACTTAATTCACATTTGGAATCTGTTAATCCAGTAACAACAATGCTGAATAAATTCCTTAAGATTTCATGTAAGTGCATTTTTCTAAGCAAGCTAGAAGGTTATGACACAGGCTGCTTTGCTAAGTTTCATCAAAATCCCCACCCTGAGCTGTAACAGATTTGTTTGCTTAAATGAGAAGCTGCGTAAACTAATCACATTGTTTACTTAACCACTGCACCGTATACAAGAATAAAGTAAACTTCTTTGCTGCATTCTGTGTTTGACCAGCATCACAAACTAGTGGTACAAAGCTGACCTGACAGAATCCCCCAAAAGAAAGTGAACATGCTGAAGAGAGGAAAGAATCTGGATGTTTTCTTTACAGCTGTTTTCAAAGTTACACATTTTCCTCAGAGCTTCTCTGGAGCCGGATGCAGTGTGTGACACTGTTGTACGGGTTACATGCGATAAAAACAAATGTGTTTGCACCCTGGAGAAGCTAGGCTATTTATTTAAAGAGGGTTACTGTTCTCAGATAGATCAAGGGGGGAAAAAAACAAAACAAAGGAAAATCAAAACCTCTTGCTTTGGGCTGTATCAAACCACTGATGTGAACGAAAAATCCCAAACCCATACATGCCTATAAAATAATTATCTAATAAAATTTTTAAGACACCTCTTTATTCCCTCCCTAGGGCTTCTCCAGAGAATATGGATAATAGAATTAACTGTCTTCAGTTATTTAGTTATTTCTTCTTCCTTACCCATATTTATTTTTCTTTTTAAGGAAGAATAAACAAACGGTATTGCAACAAAGCTGCTTTACTTCTTACCCAACAAACTGGAAGCCTGTCATAAAAAAACTCCTGTATTTTAGCTATACCATTGAGAAGAACAGAACCTGGAAGCGCTACCAGGCTTTGAATCAAAAGACCAGCCTATGATCCTCACAGTCACTTGTTTTGTCAGGGGTTTATTACCACTTACTACTCCAACTTAGTTAAGCAACACCTATGTGGGAGGGAGCAGAAGAGACAAGAAGCAGAGTAATTGGGTTATGATACCTCTGAAACTGTGCGACACGTATGACTGCTAACATTTGCTGTGCATTAGGGAGGAAAGAGCTCTAATGAAACAGCGAGGTCTGTACCGTTCTTGAACAAAGACACAGAAAACAACTGACTAAGACAAAAATTGGCCTGGACCACAATCTATATTTAAAAAGCCTACTGAACTAAAATGTAAAAGACACTTGAAATATTGTGAAGAATCATTTCCATCAGCTAGATAACAACACATGAAAACCAAAAAACGTGACTCTCCATTCAAAGAACACTGACTCACTGTAGACAGCTACAGTTTAGTCAAATCCCTGGTTAGTGACAAGCAGATCAAACATCAATTAATGCTTTCAAATTTCTCCAGCAGTCTCATGCATGAGCCAATTGAGTTCAAAACCTTTGTCCCAGTTTTGGCACAGATACGGGATGGTTTGAGGCCTTAAGACAGGTAACAGAATCTTCACAAGAGACGACAACACTGAAGACCACCAGGATGGCAGATTCATCTGAAATTCGTCTCCTGGTATGAGTGAACCATAATGAGAATATTTCTGTTATCAAACAGTAATTTCACATCAACTTAAATGACCTCACCCTGTAACTCACTCACACAAGCAATCCCATTAATATCAAACTGTACAAAAAACTGCAAACTATTGCTAGAGCACCAAGCATATGAAACCATCATGCTGTACTCAACAGCAAATCAGAGAAAGTTAACGAATAAGAGGAGACCAAGAAAAAAGTAAATAGTGTATCTCAACAAGTAAACCACAGCAAACAATGGAAATACTGCGAAAATATGAAGAAAAGAACAGAAAGCAATGAAACACCATCTACTGTGTCTTCTTGGTCAGTGATCAAAAACCAAGGTATTTGCCTCTCAAATTTTGTTTATTAAAAAACCTGTACAAAGCATTCAGCAGTTTGCCAAGTTTTTCAGCATTTCTTCATACCATATTATATCATATGAACTATGACTTGCCTTCTGGAAACCATGAAAACACCACATTGTTTTATATATACACCATACCATTATTTTCTATATACTTTATTTTATTATGCTGTCCAAAAAAAAGGCATCACAATAGGTTTTAACAAAGATTAAATAAAATATTGAGAGTGATCAAGCATTAAAAACCACACTAGCTGACATTTGGCTATTGGTTTGTTATCATTTCAGTGTTTTTCTACTAAGGTTAAAATGGTGTCAGTAATATTTGATACAAAAGGAAGGATGAAACTAACTGAGCCATATCTGGAGCACCCTTTTGTCTGCAGTAACTTGCAAAAGCAAGAGGTTAGTAGGACTTAATGATTTGACATGATGATTACAACTCAGCTGCACTATAAAGGACAGATGTACAGATAAAATTGCATGTCAGAGCACAAACCAACTATTAATTTTGTGTGTGTGTCTGTATTTATACCTAGGTGCATATATTTTTTTTATTTAGTTTCTGTAAAATATCTTTTTCTGAAAATGCTCCAAAGGCCCCTGGAGCAAGTGTACCACTTGCTTTACCCAGAAATTACTTTCCATGCTGAATTTTTTAGACAATCCAGAAGAACCAGCTGCCTTACCATTACTATTCAGTGTCTTCATAATAACTTCCATTTGTGCAAACTCATAGTTGTAGTCTGGTTCTGAAGAAGCTTCACTAGCTGCATCCAAATCATGCTCTCCTAATGAAGTTTCTTTCTCAAGGTCTTTCAGCCAATCTCGTCGTTTCCGCTTTGGTAAATTGATTCTGTGTAAAAATTGAAATTCAGTTGCTAAAAAGTTTATGCAGAACAGTGGAAGAAAAAAAAATAGGCTGAATGTAAAGAGGCTGGAATATAAACATCAACTATTACCTAAAAAAGTGGTTGTTTCCCCATAATATTCTATCTCCATGCCATAACTGAGTGACAGAACATACCAGTGCACCATTTACACAGGATCTGAAAGAAGAAAATACAACTTCAGTGAAATCCTAAAAATAAAAGGTTGAAAAGTAACTACAAGATCTACTGCTTCTCCCATCTACAGACAGTGATTTGTATCATATGATGCACAAATCTGCTAGGTTCTCACTAAAGAATCAACAGGAAAGTTACTTGTCTGATTTCTACTGTCAGAATTAAACACAAAGCACCTTTCCCCTCCAGCTTTGGCTGATAGAACTCTTCATTGAACATACAGACAAGGTTGCTTTTAGTTGCACGGTGTTCTTTAAATGCCCATTTCTCAAACTGGGTCACTGCCTGTTTCTTATGAACAGCCTGTAAACTTGGTTGCATGCAAATCCTACTGATAAAACTCTCAAAGATATAAGTTAGTCAACACAGTTGTAAAACATACTGTTAGCATACTCAGCATTCACGCGTAAGAAAAGACCCTTAGATCGAAGTTTCATTCTTTCAGCAAATGGAGTCTCTATTATTAACAAGGGTCTACTTTTGTGAACATCTGGTATGCTGCTGTATTTGCATTTAGGTTTCTTTGTATTTAAGTTTCAATCACAAAATGGGAAAAATGGAGCTGTTGAACTTTTGCATATACGAGTCACAAAGTAGAACATTTTATTTGAAAGGGAAAAAAAACTTAAGTAAAATGAAAAAAGACTTTTCAGATGCAGTGTTCTGTATTCAGCTGTCTCTCTCAAGTAAGTCAACACAGACATGTAAGCAATTGATTTAAAACCAGATTCCCCCCCCCCCCCCAATTAAATTCTGGTAACTAAATTTCTGTTGACACCAGTATCTTAAGAACAGCTACTTAAGCATTGCAGATCAGGCACGAGTAAAACAAAAGTATGTTTTTTCCACTGACATGTGTCTTTGGTTCTTGCCAGTCAAAATGACTGATTTCCAGTACAGTAACTCTATCACCACAAGTCTGAATCCCATCTGTTTGAAATTTTGTACTGTAGGCTGCAGAAGAAAAATGCAAATGCTAAGAGGTATTTTACCGAAGGCAGAACGAAAGAGATCAGATTTTTTTAAAAAGCTGTGTCTCAAACTTCTGTTTCTCATTCTAATACTATTCTACACATTATTTAGATATTCAGATTTCAGTCAAGCAACATGACTATCAACTAGGACAAAAGGTACTGCTTATCACTTGCCATTGAAGATGAAGTGACAAAGACATCTACAATTCCACCCAAGAGGCCACAGTGCCCCCAAAATGAAAAATAATTAAAATATGGAAGTAGAAACAAAAGGAGAAACGTGACTTCACACTACACATTTACTAGACACAACAGTAATTAAAGATTTGGAAAAGAATTTAAAGATCTTCAGATCTTTAAAACACCTCTTTCTCACAAAATACTGAGCTTTACAACAGGAACTACTCACGAGGCACAATTTATCCTCCCCCATCAAGACAGTCTATTGTCCCACTGCACGGGTCAGGATAGCCAGCAGTGTCTCAGTGATCCTCTTACCACCCAAGATACAGACAAGCAATGGTCCCTCATTCCTACTGAATACCTTCTTGCGACGGTTTATTCTGAGCCAAACCACTGATAGCCTGTTATGCTACAGAGGGGGTGGGTGTGTACACATGTGGGGAAATCTCAGCTTTATTGCTGAATTTCACTTCTAAGTATCCATTTAAGTCACCTATACTGAAGCTACTCATTGATCAGAATGTAAGATACTTCTGACTATGTAAAATAAAAATGCATGCAAGTTATCTTCTGGTAAAGAAAAGCAAATACTTCACTGGAAAGTGCTGCTGATCTTCCTTACCTTGCATTTTCTTTTGGTGTGAGTGTAACTTCTCCATCTAAAGCAATATCAATCTCGCAGTGTTCTGGTTGGATTCCTATACCAAAGAGCTGTATATCCTGAGAGGTATCTGCCCCAACTCTTGTGTGATCCTAGAAAATAAGCTGTTACTAAGAGACAAGCAAACTATCACTGTTTAGATAACTAAGAAAATATTAGCTGAAGCACTGAGACTGCACAATCTACGTGCTCTCCTTTGCTAAGCACTTCTATAGAGCAGAAATGGTGCCACAGCAGATTTGAAGACTGTAAAGGTCACACACAAACTGTTCTTCTGCTCTCCACTTTATCTTCATACAGTTTTAGATAAAGGAAAATAAAGCAGTTGACACACAAATTCTGATTTTAAAATATCCTCAGACCATGCTTGTATGCAAACAATAAATGCAAATAGTGAAGAAAACCAGCCATGTCATATAGGCGTATATAACAGAGGGCAACATGGATAGTAAAACAAGGTGCAGAGTTGACTGCTTTTCAGAAAACAGCTATACAGTAATCAACTAAACATACTAATCTCTACATAATTTCAAGTTGTATTGTAAATTCTGCTGAAATACTTTACTTTGCTGTTGTTAGAGAAGTTGTGCTTTATTTGCTACTGTTCAAATACAGAAGCCCTATCTCAGCCACTAAAGCACAACTATAAAAATAGACAGGATACTCTTTCATATCTTATTGACAAGGAGCTCACATTTCCTTACAAACTTACTAGGTTTGTATTTGACACTATTTCACTCTGACACGAGACTATGCTGAACAGAATGGTATGAAAGCTAGTGGTACTAGGAAAATACATTTCTGTAAATTTTTAACAGTGCTTTCCCCCTCCCTTCTCTTTTTCTTACACTTTTCTGTCAAAGACTATGTTTACTCTTACTGATTCCTACTAAACATCATCTCTTTATGATTAACTCATTGAATATTTAAAGCAATCCTCAGTTCACTAACAAAAAGAAGCATCTGACACAAGGCTCTCACTTCAAGTTCAGTCCAAAAGGCAATTCTATTCACATCCTGTCTGGAAAACCTAGAATTTATCTCAACACTGGCACACATGGAGCACTTCTCCCACTGTTGACAATCAGGAGATCAATTAGGAAAACAATGAAGCTGAACTGCAAAGGGAGAACAAAAGCCTAAACAGTAGGAGGAGGCCTATCCTATTTTGCTGCAACTAGTCTTAAAAAAAATCTAGATACACTCTGAATAACAAATTGAGACAGATATTCAAAATAATAAACAAGTGTCCTTTCATTCTGTGTAAACATCCTGTTCACATTCTTACCTTTAAATAGTAAACCAAAAGCTCATTGAGCGCAGGGTCTGCATTCAGGTTCACCAGGTAACACTTGTCATCCCCAACCTTGATACCTGAAGACTCAAGGGAAATTCCCATGCTCTCTAGCTGTCTTTGCCTCTCCTGCAAGCACAAAAATAGGTTAATCTTGCCTGCTGCAATATGTAGAGACAAGTATAGCAAGTAAATGAAAGCAGAGCAACTAAAGGTGAAGATGCGCATGCTGAACATTCATTCTGTGTATTGCTACCAGAAACAGAACTTAAGACATTGGTCAAGTACCATATGTTTAACAGAATTTATTTTTACTCACAAACAATAAAAAGTTTGAGAGTAAAACACCTCCTTCCCCAAAGCAGCACCTACTTACCTAAGCAGCCCTACTGATTTTATTAGAGCTACTCATAAGTAACACAATGTGGCTTTGAACCTCTACGTTAGTTAAAAACTGGTCTCAGTTGCAATTATTTCAAAGATAATCATAGCCATAGATAATTTAGAAAATAGCATGCCACAGTTTAGGTTTCTTCTTTTGCAGTGTTCTTATTAATTCAGCTAAAGCATCTACTCGATCACACGTCTTTTGCTTTGCTACAGTTTGGGTTTTTTTGTTTGGCTGGTTGGGTTTGGTTTTCCCCCCCACCTTTCTTTTTTTATTATTTAAACAGTGATTACGCCGAAGCATGCTTCTCAAACATTAGGACTGGAAAGGAAAACCAACAATACTCGTTCTCCAAGCTATAGATGGAAATGATAGAAAAGTACACTGGAACCCAGAAGTCATTTTAAATACAATAATAATGAACAAACATTAGTGAATACACGTACACATTTTCCTTCTCTGGTTAAGAAGTCACTAAAAGCAAAAGCAACAAATACCGCCCAAAATTCTGATTCTTCTGTAATTCTTCATTTTCTTAGTCACTTTAAGGGAAACACATCCAAGATCCCACTGTGGTCTTAAAAATATATGAGCTGCCCAAACATATTTTGATGTTTTATTTTAAAATCAAGTATTGGCTTTTATCAATGATATCATGACACAGCTACATTTATTCTAATGAAATTTAGACTTTAAAAAAAACAAACCAGAAACCAGGGGAAAAGACAAAAATCCAGAGGAATTCTAAATAGCTGGTGGGGAAGACAGCACAGTTCACTCAAGCTCATGAAATTCAGCTGACTTGCACTATATGAGTATCTCTGACCATGTTGACTACCTTCGAAGGAAGGCATGCTCTGGAGCTAACACAGGCTTCTCATTTCACAATAAGGAACAAAAGCAAAGGGTTTGAATACATCCAGTCCCAAGTAACAATTCAACAGGCTGGCCTATAACTCTATATAACTGTTTTTAACAGAACGTGTAAGAGAAAAAACTTTTTAAAAAAAAATTAGTAAGACTTTGGACACCATCCTACTGATTGTGTTCAGTCACAGTCTGCCAACATAATTAAGAACATGCTACAATAATATTTTCTGATTTAAAATATGGGATTAAAACAGATTTTTATTTACGAAAAAAGTGAATGGCTCCTTTTTCTTAAAGCAGATTTTCCCATTTCAGCCTGTAAGGAACTGTTCATACAAGGAACATTATTCCTTAAATGAATGTGAAGTTTAAACACCACACAAATTTACCTTCAGACACACTTCTGTTCTTTTTCCACCAGTATTTTGTGTCTTGCCTAAAAAGATCAAAAATATTTTCCTACAGTACAGTGCCTAATTTCTTCAGATATCACCAAGTAAACTATCCTACCCTGATACTTTACTCTCCAATTAGAAGTATAAATCTAAGATAAGCAGCAATCTCACAGTGTTAACTGTTAAGGCAGTAAAGCAAATTGCTGATGGTTTCGGTGTTGCAGTTTTGACAATTTTTTACAGATTTTCACAAATGTCAAGGAGAGAAACGTCCCACATATTTTGTGGTCCAATACCAGATTTACGGCTTTTCACACTTTTCCATTTGATGTCATAAAATTATATAGTCCATCAATGCAAAAAAAAAATTCTGCTAGTAAGTCTACAGAATGAAGTTGTACTCTAGCTCTTATCTGTGCCGCATCAATTATTGCTTGACATGAAGTTCTTCACGAACAGTCTATTCTGACAAGGGTCACCATCAGGACAATGTTGTCCTCATTTAAAAGTTATTAGAAATAAGCGAACGTTATGTTGGATTTATTTCAGGAAACAAGGTTAATTATTTAAAAAAAAAAAGTGCAAGACACTTCCTTTTCTCATTTTGTAAGACTTAATAAGAAAGCTAGTCTTCCAGCCAGAGTTTGACATTTCCTTGGGAAACTCAGTTTACATTGTACTGTGAATAATGTTACCTCAGCTTGTGAGAGCTGTTCTTTCAGTTTTTCAACTTCTTCACGTAATTCTCTGATGACCCTAGCATTTGGATCTTCATTCACCACAGCATGATTAACTATCCTTTTGGCTCTGTCTGCATATCTCAGAGTAGAGAGTGTTTCTTCATAGTTGTCTGCTGCTGGACTAATTGTGGCTATCATGGCAGTTTGGCTGTTTCCTCCCAAGTTGTCCTGTAGAGTGCATCCACAGAAAGTTTGACAGTTAAAAATTCTTCTGAGACTACACAATGTCTTTACAAAGATACTTAAAATACAAAGGTTACTATTTAAACACTGAAAGGTACTCTGGATGCAAACATGATCCGTGAACAATTCCAGCCACCTCCACCAGCTTTGATTCCACTATAACTGAAAATAGCCAAATAGGACTTTACATAGAATTAACACAAGATACACTTAGCTGTCCATATTATTTGGAACAACTTGTAGCCTTGAGAGCTCCTTAGCTCATTTCTTTAACAAAAAAAAAAAAAAAAAAAAAAAAACAAAAAAAAAAACAAAAAAAACTACAATGATCCGACAAACTATTAAGCCAACATCTTATGAACAGGGTGAATGGAAAATATTAATTACCTTGAGAAGTGAAGTGAGTACAGAGTCTCTGTAAGGCACAAACTTGTTTTTCCCCTTCCCTGCTGCTTGGTCAGCAAGTGATGATATAACCAAGCCCAGCGTTGAAAGTGATCTATAAACGCAACACAGTAGAACAACTTTAACACATATTCCAAATGTAGATTTAATAAAACCAGAAAAGGGGATCTGCTGAAGAGTTTAATTTATGCTCTGCAGAAGTTCACATCCAATTTTTAAAATATCAGAATAATTTAAGTTGGAAATGACCACAGGAGATCAGCTCGCCCATTGCCTTGCTCCAAAAAGGGCAATGTTTTTACTGAAGTTACATATTTGGAAGAAAAAAAATGATATCTACAGTGTCTCATCTCATCTGGTACTAAGACCAAGTTCCAGGAAGATTAAGTTGAAATATTCAGGTATTTTAAATAGTTTGAAAAGTGCAAAGCAGCCTGCTTCAGTACGTGGAGAATGACTGCCTTTGATTAGACATCTACCTTTTCTCAGAGACTAAAAGTCTTTCTATCTTGGACACTGCCTCATGACACTGTTAGGAGTCAGTGTTGGCAGCACAGCAAGAATTCCCTGTATCTAGAAACAATGTTTTAAGAGCACTGGCTCAACAACAGACTAAAACTGAACAATTCATTAGCCATAAGGAGGCACCTTCAAGACAAAGCCAGCTATGGCCCAGGAGAACTAGTCTGCCTGGTGAACCAGTAACTTATCAGCCATCACATGACAATGGAAGACTGCTCATCAGAAGGTACTGATTAGGAGGTCCCTTGACAAATGGGTTGACTTATAATTGAGATGGAGCCTCACCAGCTTCTCGTGGGGGGAACAGACCAAACAATCTCCCAGTTACAAAAATGTTGCACAAGCATGAAAGAGAAAAGCCCCCAAATTGCTTAGCACACAGCCACATCCCAAACACCACTCTGGAATCATGAAGAAAATACAGATAACTCATTCATTTTGGTACATGTACCACTTCTACCAACAGGGGTAACTGTATTAGCAATCTGTGCAAAGCATATGTGCATTGTGTTACCCAATTGTTATACAACCCTGTGCAAATTTTAAGTGACATTGGGGCTCTTGGGGTGAGTATGTTTAAGATAATGAGCTGGTTCAGGAGCCTGGGAACATTAAACAGATGCCTAAAGGGTTTTAAAACAGACGGTGCTGAAGCCCAAGAGCATACTGGTCTGTCATACACATGCCCAATTATCCAGCTACTCTTTATAACTACCAAGGAAAACTTCAGCAGCATTGCAATTAGATAGTCAAATAAATCTTTATTTGTACTGTTCCACTCTGTCCTTTTGAGCTTTCTTTTCAAAGTAGTAGTACTATTTTAGCTGATAGGCAGCGTTTGCACAATATTTGTAACAGAGCCTTAGTGCTGCTTGGAACTACCAGTGGTTCAGAAATAACATTTAGAAAATGACAAAAACGTTGCAGAAGAATATTTCAAGGATACATCTGAGGGTAAGGTAACAAGAATCATTACATGCGTCACAAAAGATGTCCCATATTGCGTATAGCACAAAGTGGTATGAAGATATAGCATAGACCTGAAAGCAAAATTAAAAGGAAAAGAAATTTAACAAGAGGCTAGGCAATTTGATCACAAAATAGAGTGCTCTCTTGGGAAAATTTGTCTGTGGGATAAATTTCCAATTCACCTCTGAAAAATTCACAGCAAAAAGGACCGTTAGTTTTAGTTTGTGACCTAAACAAAAGCCTAACAACCTCTGAAAGCTTGTGGGGGGAGGATGGGGGAGGGAGAATTGGTTCTTGCCTCCAATCTCCGGTCTCCACCGACAGAGGTGACAGCATGCTAAACATGCGAGAACAAACAGTAGGATGCTGTATACTGCTCCGTAGCAACCTCCTACAGCACAACTGAAAAGCACCACCAGCATACTCCCAACGGAGTCCACCTTCAAGGAGCGTAAAGTTAAAAAATCACCCTAGCCTATTTTCCTCCTATTCCTCTTTCCTTCTTTAAATGACGGGAAACATGAAAACCGAAGCCAAAAACTGAGGGAGGGGGAAGAAAACGTCAGTCAGAAGGGAGATAGGAAGAACAGGGATTCAAAAAGGCCTGTCACTGAAAACTATTTCACAACAGGGCTGCAACACCAATTTTGAGTTATGGGCACTGCATTTTAATAAGCAGGAAATTATAAGCTACAGTTTATTAACACAGGATTAAAAACGTGATAATATTTCTGCTCCTTATAAATACTGATTTTATTTTAAACTAACTGTTAACACCTGCAGTAAAAGCCAAACTGGAGTCATTTATGTATTCTGCTTGAGATTTCATAATACAACGCTGTTTAAAGACTTTAAGGAAAGCAGTAAAAGAAATGGCTGCCCAAAGTAATTACAGGACTCATCGGCTGCATTGCTTCATGCTAAATGATGCATCAGAGATCTGTCACTACTTTGATCCTATCTCACAATACTTATATAATGAATCAACCAGAAGGCCTAAGCCCGCAGCGCACGGCAGACCGAGGCAGTTACAGAAGCAGCAGAGTGAACTTATGTGGTGCAAGAGCATGCAAAAGTGCCATTTCTGCACACTTTGTTTTCCTTGTCCCTATTCCTCAGGCACGACCAGGCTGCCCTTGCTAGTGGGCAACGGGAAGCTCTCACACTCCCACCACGGGCCTGAGTCAGCGGCATTCGAAGGGAAGTGGTGCTTCCTCACCGCAGGGAACAACTCTATCCCTAAATGACACCCATTCAAGCTACTTCTGTACAATTTACAACCAAGTTCTTCAATGAGCAGAATCCACCTTTCTATCAGTTAACTCTGAATACGAAAAAACTCCCTAAAATCAGCTTGGAGCCAGACCTGTCCCAACCCATTCCTTCCCTCCTCCGCTTACATTTTAAAGGCTTCTTTTTGCATCCTCAAGTTAAAATGACAGCTATGATTTTACTAATCAGAGTTAAAATTGCAGACTGTTCACAGAAAGTATTTTTCTTAGCCACTAATTGACAGCTTGTTTATTCTGCTTCCTCCTACTATTGTATTCTAGAAATTCTTTGACTACACCACAAAGAGTTGTTAAGCACCTGCCTTTCTATGCTCCGTATGGGAACTAGCACATCCCGGGGAGGAACAAGCACATCCAGCTTTCCTATGAGGTATGGCAAGTCCCCCAAAAACCTCAGTAATAAAAAGCAGACACCCTGCACCTTCACCAAGGCAACTCTGCATCAGCTCTGAGAAAAAACAGAAGTAATCTTTATTACAACTTTATGAAGATATTAACAAAATGACACAACTCTCTGTTGTTTCAGTAAGTGGGAGAGCAATCCATCGCCTCCCCTCTGCAACATGCTGTCCCAAGATAGGAAAGAGTGTTTACAACAGGATGAGTTGTGGGACGGAAGCAGCAGCTGCCAGAGCCCTAGCCAGGTTTCATGCAGAAAACGAAGAGCAGAGAAACCTGCTGAGGCTGGCTGAACGTCACACTACGCAGTTTTGGTATGCACAGCTGAGGGTACATTTTCCCTGTCTTGTGAATACATAAACAGGTATGTCATTTCCACATTCTTCTTCGAGGCAACAAAACACAGCACAAGAAGCAAATTTATTTGCCAGGTAATTTCAGCAGCTCTATTTTTGATCTCGTTAAACATAGCACATGGTACTAATCTAAGTTACTGCTTTTTCATAAAAGAATAAAAAAATAATTTAAAAAGGAGCCAACATAGTAAAGTGTATGGTTTAAGTATTCTGTATTACTCCAGAAAAGATTATTGCCTTTCCCTAATAAGTAAGGTGCATCACACCCAAAAGAAGATCATACACAATGTTCTCTGAAGAACTAGTCTATTAAAACACGTATACCAATTCTGAGACTTCCAGTAAAAGTCAGACTTCATTAAAGCTCCAAGTAACAGCAAAAGTCTAACAGAAGACACCAAGCACAGCACTAAGAATTCTCTTGCCTATCAGTTCCAAAAGAGATTGCAAATAGAGAAGGCTTAATGAATGGATTAAGTAATACAGATTTATACCATATAAAAATTTAATTGATGGGAAAACGTAGAGCTGTCCACTTTTGTTTTTAAAATATCTTTTACAGAAAAGTTTGGTGCTTGCTTCTGAAGTCCTGTATTGTTAAAGAGGTTCAGCATGGGCAAAACAACCTTCCCTTACTGCATCAATGCCCTAAAAGTTTAACACTGAGTAAGCATCCTAATAGAAAAAAAAGGGGAAGTCTCTCTGTTATCTATAGCTACACTTGCAATTTGTTAATAGCTGTTGGGAGAGTTGGCATTTGAATTCTTCCCCAAGAATTAGAAAGAAACATTTAATCTCACCTTTGTTTATGCAAAATACAAATACAGTTTCTTGTAAAACCAATCTGAATTTAACTAGTAACCTGTGGCATAAAGGTACAATACCTGCCATTAGGCAAACAGAGCCACATCATTTTGTTTCACAAGGACTATGCCAGCATGGCTACCAATATGATGCATTAAACACAAAGTAGGTTAGAAATTAAGCTAAAAAGAGCAACCGTTCAAACTCTAAAAAGAGGTAATTTAAAATCATTTTAAGCATGAATGCTGTTCAAACACACTTTGTGCTGTCATTGTTAACTTAAAATACCAAAACATTTTGTAACATTTTAAAATTAAAAGCTACTGCTTTTTCAATTTAATGTAACAGTTAAACTCTTTCTTTCCCAGGAAAATTGGTATATTTAAGACAGCGGTAATAATGTGCTAAATTCTTGCTTTTGGGCAATAACACAGTAATTACAGTAAAAAAGTGCCTTGAAACTTGTCATTGCTTGAGTACAAATGCCCAAGGCAATGCTAAACTAACACAGCTTCATTCTGATCTGGTTTTCTTAAACTGTGAATTATGCTCTTACGTATTTTAATACATGTTGGAACAAAGCCATTCAACTCTGCAACTTTGCATTCTTCCTTGAGCAGATGATGAGACAAACACATGAGCCTGGGGACAGGGTGTATAAATGAATCACAACAGGTATACGCTTAATTAAAGAGCGCTGCTGTCACTTTTTCCGGATAAAATTCATACAGCCCTCATCCGAGTCAAGTATGAATCAGGGTCCCTACGCCAATGTAAAAAAACACATGGTATTTAGCACAGAGCAGCTGAAAGAGCCATATCAAACTGCTTCTGACGAGGTCTATTATTTGAACTAACTTGTGACAAGCACACCAAGAGAAGAGGCCAAGGAAACAACAGTCATTCTTAAAAGATTAAGCTTTGCAACCTGCATATGCCAATGTCTTACTTGTTTATGTTGCTGCCTTCCTTCAGGCGTTCTCCTGCAGCTCCCGTTTTGGACACTCTCTCGCTCCCAGCCAAATCCACCAGGCTGACCTTGCTAACCTTCTCTCCAGAATTCTACGCAGATGGGACATGGAAGAACAACAGCTAAGAAACAACGGCACAAAGTGCTAACATGTCTGACACTGGCACCACAGAACACTGTTCTTCATAATAATGTAGGTTAAAGTATCAAATTCAAGATATGAGAGAAGAAGGAATTGTCAGAGTTTTTATAGCTCTTTAAGAGTCACTCATGTATTTTATAGTAAAGGGCTGAAGCAGTAATGAACCAGAACCAGCAGTGTGGTAACATCAATAACCTTACTGGCAGAGTAGGCCATTAAAATGTATCAACTTCAGCAACAGTTAAGACTTAAAACAGGTTTCATGGTGGCAATATAATCTTAAAAAGTGATCCAACTGTTTGCTTTATCTGGTGTGCTTCCTCACTCTTCCAGGGTTCTCTCAATCTTACAGTCTTGCCAATATTACTTTGATTACTGGACCCCATGGCATTAAAGGTAGAAGCACAGCTAAACAGATAATGTATGTGGAAGAGGAAGGAAGAAGAATTCACCAGAACTTCATAAATTAATCAACAGAAATACATACACCAGAATGCAGGTCATAAAGTGTCTGAGTCACTATAATGTTGAATACAGCATGAGAGCGGCTGCTTTCTTCATTCATGTTGGTTGCAGCAACTGTTCGTGATTTGTTTCCCTCTGACATCAGTGACTCAATATCCTAGAGCAAAAAGAGTAAAAAATGATGCTAGGATAAAAGCAAGTATTGTGCTTGCTGAACAAAATCCCCATCTAGATGGAAGGGTGTGTATGTGTAGGAGAGAGGAAGAAGGTAGAAGTAATGAGAAAAGTCTTTGCACATTTTGAGATGTATTGGTACAGAGGGTATGTAATTCCACAGAACGTCGTGAAATCACATCCCTGTTTTAAGTGCTGGGCTTAAAAGCCCAGCAACTACGTTCAATGCACCTTCTCCTTATCTGCTGCTGAAGTATGCTGGCAACATCCACATTACAAATCATATTGTTTAATGCCAGTAATCAGGCCAGCACAGATCTACTTACACAAGTGAACACAATGCATCTCTTTACTGAATTGCACTAATACTATCTTCACTTAATTGGCTCGAAGGGTTACCTCACTTGGAGCCTGTACCTTCCCCACATACGTGAAAACAAAGACGACTATGCCGAGTCTCTATACGTACTTGCTGAGTCTTCCAAGACAGTTTCATAAAAGTCATCAGCCAAAAACTAGGTATGAACAAAATTTCCGAGCATTTTAACAAAGGTGAGCTTTCAAAGTAGGCAATTCACCATAAAAGCTGCAAAAGCAGGGGTTTTTTTAACTCCATAATATGCACAGATGCTTCAGAAAAACAAAAATCCCCATAAAAAAGCAAAATGGTTCCCACATATTACACAAAGAATGAACTTTTTTTTAAAAAACATTTTGAAATCAGCTTCCTCATAAAAAGAAAGGCCTACGCAATTCATACAACTGCACCGCTTTAATTATTTCCATTGTAGCTATAGTAGTTCATTGGCTTCTACAATACTGATTTATTTGAATGTGTTTTGCTAACTGAAGCGGGCTCAGATGCTGTCATGATTTAAATTATGAATTATATAAGCCATGTTGTAGCTCCTCATGCAATATACCTGTATAAAATAAGAGGTCGTATTCAACAACAAAATGAAAGAAATTCATGCTCTAAGACTAATATTCGTATTTTGGAAGCCTCATATTTCCTGTGTCAAGGAAACATTGTGTTCTTGGTATATACTATATGCATTGAAAACTGCAAAATAAAGAGATACCACTATTATATTTTTAAACCAACGTAAAGGCAAATCCAATGCTTTTACATGAAATAAATACTCCTGAAGCATTAGAGAAGATCTTTGCAATTGCCAGAGACCATAAACACTCAAGAATCAAAATGTTCGGACAGACACTAGTTTATCTCTTTTAAGATTCCTATTGCTTATGTACACAGGTGTTATTTATAAAGTTGTCATTGGTTTAGATTTACCTCGAAGTTCGTAACAGCCAGCTGAGACAGGCCATCTACGTACGGTCCCAACACTTTGTGCTCTCGAACCTTAAGGGACTGCCGACTCCTGTGGAATAAAGTAGACTTTATGCACAGCCCACTAGTGTGAACTTTATTGAAAAACAAAAATTATAGTATGAAATTATAAGAATCTTCTATATAGCAGAAGTCAATTTATGTCTTTTAATTGTAACAGGAGGAAAAAAGTCTTCCAAAATTGTTTTTAACTCAAATCAACAATAAAGACTCAAATTAATCTAACCAGTTTTTATCTATATACATGAATTATTTTTAATGCATCCTCCCACCCCAGTATTTGTGGAGGGAACAAAACCTGAAATGCCTTATTTGGCAGACAGAATGCTGACAAAAAAGGAAAACAAAAATCCTCCCCCCTCTCCCCAGCAATTTGCTAAAGCATCAATTCTTCTTGCATTTTCCATATGTTCATTGACATATATCAAGTAAGTCTCTAATCTACCTTTTTAATTGACTTGTATACTTCTTCACCTAGTGCAATTATGTTCAAGAATCAAAATATATACCACATATCAATGCTCAGCTGAAACAAACCTATCAAACTACCTATTGTCTAGTCATCTCCAAGCCAGAGAGCCTAACCAGTACTTTTGTGTAGACAAAACGGAAGAAAGAGTGCCATGAGTATATTCTGAGGTGTTACCCTTCCACATTCAAAAAGTTCAATGTCTAAACCAGGAGAACTAAGTTGTAAATAAGCTTCACGCTCCTCCTAGTTGATGAAAATTCATACCTGAATATGGTCTGGATCATATGGCAAAAATACCCCAGAATTTACTTGTACATAGTCTTGCTTTCTGGTGGTAAACTACTTCATACAGTATTTGTTTGCATCATTATGATGGTATCCTAATATTTAAATTGATCCACGCCAGTTACTACTTCATATACAAGCTTTACATAGATATTCTCTTCCTTCTGGTGTTTGGTATCTAATCCTTTCTAAGGAAATCGTATAAACATACATTCTGAAAAAACCTTCTCACGGACTTCCAAAAGCTATCTCTACTTTTATAGTTTCAGACAAAAATAAGGAAGGCTGTGGGGGAGAGTGAAGCTACTCACCCTTTTGGGTCAAGCAGATCTCTGACTTTCTCGTTGTAGATTTCCATATAGGACACTTCGACTTTAAAAGTATGAGATTCATTTTCTTCCACAGCAATTCTCTGAAATAAAGCACAACAGAGCCGTGGGATCAGACCCAGCTGCTCTGCATTGCCCATCATTGAAAAGGATTTTCCCGAACCTAAAGGAAAAAAGGAGAAGAAAATGGTTTAGAATGTAGTTTCTGAGCTACTCATTTGTTCATGAAGCACATATTTTAATTCTCTTTTTATTCTTCCAGAAGCTCATATCAGAACAACATGACATGCTATTCCAGACAGACAATTTGTTCTTTGGACTACAGGGTACAGGTAAACAAAAGAGAAATTATCTTCAAGGTTTCTCTCAGTGGGGTCATTACTTGGGACCCCTTTGAACACATTCAAACACAAAAGACTGAATAAGCCTTCGGTACCAACTACTCTTTTCAGACTTTGAAAGCGGCCCCAACAGGTAGTAACCAGGAACGTACTTACAGAGCCGCTGTAAGAACTTCACATTTAGCACTGGCTGTGCTAAAAGTTTGACATTTAACATTATGATATTTCAAAATACAATTTTTAAATATTATCTAGCTTAATATTTATGTTTTGTTCTTCCCACTTTCCATGTGCACAAAAAGCGTTCTCCTCTTTAGCACAGGAGACTCACCTGTCTGTCCATAGGCAAAAATACAAGCATTATATCCCTGAAAGGCCTTTTCTAGAATTCCTTCTCCAAGGCACTGGAACACCACTTCTTGACCTAGAAAATAATTATTTTTACATTTATTTTAAACTGAGTAAGAGACTAAAATATACTGAAAACAAGAAAAAGGTTTGCAAATTATTTTTTACTATTGAGTGCACTGATGAACAAACAAATGATTTCATGTACAACTGAGTGACAAGTTCAAAACTGTTGCCTGGAACTAGTGTAACAGCTGCCTCTGTGTTTAAATATATTGCTGATTTTCCTGTGAAGGGAGCAGTTCTTCGAAAGGTGTCATATAAGTTGAATGCTTAGAAAAATAACATAAATAATACAAAATTTAGACATCTAAGTGTAAATTTTGCAATTAATATACATTCTTTAATCACAAACTATACCCAAAAGAGTTCTGTAACAGAATTGCAATGAAACCCATTAGCGAACTAGGATATTAGAGGTACAACAAATATCATCCTAGAAATAATAGTAGTTGTTCCCTTGGAAACTGGCCTCAAGTTTCACTGCAAGCTATTATGATTCACCCCGTGGCAAGGTGATGCTGGAACCAAGATAAAAGCATTCCGATGATATTCAGGCAGGAAATGCATATTAGGAGGCTGCGAGACTTCAACAGAGCTGTTTGAGGATATATTCTGGCAAATCCATAGTTTGAAACATCAGCTGCAGAATTTCATAGTCTGCAAATTGTCTCCCTGTGCCATGCAGATTTTAGACGCGCTTCAATCTTTTAGATGTAGAAGATGAAACTGGGCATAGTGGTTGGGGTTTTTTTAATAGGAAAGCCCAGAATTTGTACACCATGAAGAAGGTCAATGGGTTGTCTGCTCTGAGTTCTGATCAGAGAATTACACCAGCTGTGTGTACACCCAAACCAAGCAGAGCTGAGCTAAGGACAGCATTTATACACCTTCTGGTGTTTGGTTTTAAACTTGCATTCACTGCCTGGTGAGTTTCTGAAGAGCTGTGATCAGCTGCATCTCTCATTTAGGTAAGTTAGTTTCAGCAGTTGTCAGTTACAAGAAATTATTTTGTACAGCGCATGCAATAGTGACTTCCATAATTCTCAAAATAGAACATACTGGCATTAAAAAAAAAATCTAGCTATACATTTATACACTGCATGAGAATATTTACACTCTATGATCCTTGAGTAATTGGTAGCCCAGAAAATTCCTGCAGAACAACCTGTGGAATGATTGTGGAATGGTTTACAGGCATGTAAATAGGACTAAAAAGTACTACGTTACTTTTATTTTCCTTTAACCTAATTTCTCTTCTGCTGTAAAGGAAGAACTAGTGCAGCAATGCCCTATCAAACGGTCTTTGTGTATCTTTCCAGCTGAAATTCTAAAATTCCAAAGTGGTACTGCTCCCTGGATTAACACAGTTCAGAAATGTCAAATACAGGAATTAAAACCAGAGGAGAACCTGCTGTACTCTGGAATAACGCCATCTCCTTCCCCATGCACATTCATTCAATTCTCATTCGACTTACGATCATTTGATCATTTTATAATAACTATGCTGAGAGCGCACTGTTCAACAACATGGAAATAGCTATAGAGAACGTTAAACTACTAAAGAATGAATGAAGAAAATTTATCAGCGGAAGATTTTAATAAGAACGTAAAATACACAAAAATTTGCTTTCCAACTGGCTGCTGAGGGCCCATTTTGAAGTTACTAAGTATCAAAGAGGCAGAGAGCCACTTACCATCTTGCTGAACAAGAACACAAAATCAAGCAAAGATTGAAGCTGAGTATAATTATTAAGAGAAAAAAGCATATATATTCCACAATGATTCTGAGTGGAGAATAAAACCATTTGTCAGAAAAAGAAAAAAAACTTTTATTACTCACTTCTGACCAGCAATAAAACAGTAACCTCCTCCATGTTTCCCAAGAAAAAACAGATACCAAAATCTTATAAAAGAGTGCACAGTCATGATAACCGTAAGATGACCTACAGAACCTCTTACTGCTAAATACCAGGAAAGGAACCCAGTTTGAATCTCACAGGCAAAGCTGGATTTTTTTTTCAGAAGAGATTTAATTTTCAAACGGCCAACACTAAAGCTGAAAGTCAATCAGAGACTGATACATAATTCTAAAATGATAGTTTTATTACAGTTTTTAAGAGCTCAGCAATACAAACATAGGCAAATGGGTCATTAAAGAATGATGTTTATACTAACCAGTCAAATTATCACGGGAGAAAATAAAATTTGTTTTTAAGTGCACTCACAGAAAAGAACACAAGATATTAAACTTCAATTATGGGTATTTCATTCATTTGCTAACGTAGTACACTGTTGAGGGTAGCAGCATATCAACCATGAGATTTTGATATTTTTCATTAAGCAATCTTACCGCTTCCCCCATGAATTTTATTAGTGGGTTTGCAAACTGATTACAAAATCTGTATTGCAGAGAATTATGTCTACGTGCACTTACAGTCAAAAGAAGTAATGCAGTTCCATTGTCTACACTACCGCATTTTTGTTTTGCTAAATAAACCTATACAGCCTGCAATTAATACTTTTGCGTATTTACAGGACTTTTCTTCCACAGATACCTAGTGTTCAAAGAGGTAAGCAGGGGTTTTAACTCGATTCTAACTTAATTTACAGAAAAAGGGAGAAATACAGGAAAAAAAAATTAAATTTATTTAGTTAACAGAAAGATTACCCCTACACCGACCTTTATTGTCTTTAAGACAGGGATTCCCCATCTTCCAGCTGGCTAAGACCATATAGCCTCTTATAGAGGCAACTAAAGGCCAGACACTGAAACACCCGTCCCCTCTCCCATCTTCTGCTCAGAACATGGGCAAGCCTTAGGTGACTGACGGACATGCAGTCAGTCAATCTGGGGAAAGCATACCCAAGGCTGTCAGGGAGCCCAGGATGAGTGTACGAGCTGCTAATTCTTACAGGCTAGGATCTCCTGTCTCCTTCGAGGAAAAGGGAGCAAAGTCTGGTAAATTTTTCTTGCAGACCACAGTCTAAATAATCGTTTCCTCTACTTTAAGGAGCAAGACTGTTAACCTGGAATCACGCAATGGGAAAGATTATCAATGTTGCTGGATGCTCTATAACTCTAGTAGAAAGATTATCAGACAATGTTGCTGGATGCTCTATAACTCTAGTTACCGTGCACATGGCAGCATCCCTAATGCTGCAAGGTGGGAAACCCTGTTAACCCAGTGTTAGGGATGCTCTGCTAATCAAAACCTGAGAAACACTGGTGGATGCCCACTCGGTTCTGAAGAAACCGAGTACTGGAAAGCAACGTCAAGACAATTTGAAAACCTTTTCCACTTTCACTGGACAGCTGTAACTGTCTTCATAGCTTCAAGACATTATCTGTGCATTTTGACAAGCGCAACTGCAAGCCTGATGCAAACAGCAGAAACATCTAAGAAAGATGAAATGAATAACTCTCAACTCCTCAGAAGGCCACTTCCAGCAGGAGACTAACCCAAGAACCTTTCCATCAGCATTTAGGACTGAATATTTTCACATATTCAGCACTCAAACGCTCTGACATTCTTCCATAAACACATAAACCGAGATAATAAACATTTCTTTTTTAGCAATAACCATACTAAAGATATTGAAGATTTCAGCATTCAAAATGGTATCTGTGACTTACCTGAAAGCTGAAGGAAACCCATCCTCCTCTCAGATTTACATTTTTAACCTACATATATTCCTGGAACTTTCAAATGCCATGCTTGTGCTATTACTATGCATCAAGGGTGTTCAGTATGGCACTTTGAGGCTAAAGAGTTTTTTCACATGTTCTCTACCTACCGAAATGGCTAGGTATTTCAATGGCAAAAATATAAAACAAAGTAAAGGTAGCAAAGTATTGCAGTGCACATGTTAAAAGTAGCTATTAAATTATTAACAATTCTAAAATAAAATCTTCACATTATCTACCCACAGAGCTGCATGTGAAAATCTTAGTTGGAATCTCTGAGCCAGCATAAATTATTAGAACATTTAAATTCTGAAAATATGTAAGATAAGAAAAAGTCCCTGAAAATAGAAAGATAAATACATATCCTGACATGCAAGAATACATCATTTTCAGAATGAGATATTTAAGTATTCTCTCTTATATCTCTATGCTCTTTCCCCTTCTCTTCCTCCAAATCATCCCTTTATGGTTTCTGAAGCCCCAATCGGGAGACCCTATTTGACAGTGTTCCTAGGGAAACCTACACGTTGCAGAGGAACCCTAGAATCTGTTCTCACAATCTGCAAAATGAAGCTATTTACAAATAAAGTTTAAACATTCTCTAGTTTGCTAGACTGGTGACAGCAGACAGAAGAGAAGAGAGGGGAGGAAAAAGGGCCACACCCTTTCCAACAAAACCCCCTTTTAAAAAGGCAGCTAACAGTTACTGTCTTTCCTAAAGTCTGCTCATTTAGTGACAAACACATTCAAGATGTACTGTAACAAAAATTAGTTTCAGTGCCTGGTTTTTAGATGTCTAGTATTTCTAGGTCACAACAACTTGTCAGTCTGAAATAGGGATAATTGTCTCATATTAGCACAGATTCATTCACCTAGGTCATGACTGCAACGCTGTGACACATCACTGGCGTTCCTGAAACCCCCTCACTTACACGGCAAAAACAGCTAGAACCAAACAACAACTTGTTATGTACAACACTGAAAAGTCAAGTCTCTTTACGGCTTAATCTCTAACCCAGAAGATTTTAATAAGCAAGCCTTGAGAGCAGTAAATTGCAGTTGATTCCGTGATCTAATAGTTAAAATAAAACTTGATCTGCGGAGATCAGAATTATTAAAAGCTCTGCTAGATAACAGTTTCAAAAGAATCTCTCTAAAATTGGAAAAAAGATGCCTACAGTTCACCTTAACAAGAACCTAAAGGCACAACAGCTAGCATCATCTAACTACTGCAGCCTAACACTACAGTATTGACAAAGCACTGGAGTCTTTAATGTTCAAAGCTTTAATCCACCAAAAGGTCTCAAGTGCTTCAAATCAGATGCCGCAACACCTACATTTTAAGTGCCTGACCCGTACAGTGCTAAAATCATACTGAATAACTAAGTTTCCCAAAAAATGTAGAGGTCAGGTGTCAGCTGTGTGACACAAAATTAACTCCTACATACTGCGTAGAGTGTCCTCTAAAAAAAAAAAATAGTCAAGGGAACAGTAAGACAGGGATAGGCTTCTCTCACGTAACAGGTTAAATAGGTAGGCCTGAACTACAAACAGACAGACACTCCTCTACTGTCTGCTCAGATCTTACAACTTACAATCTTTCACAAGGGTAGAAGTGTACCGTTCTTTAAGCCGCTTGCCTGGTTTGTTTCCTTTTAAAACAGCTGCTGGAAGAGCAGTAGTCAGCATATATATATTTCATATAAAATTATAGCTCAGCCCAAAGTCAGGCGTTCAGCCTCTCAGGACAATGCAGCCTGCAGAAACACAGACCTGAAATTTCAGGCCAAATGTGATGCAGCTTAGGGAGTTTAAGAAAACTCCACGGTCAAGTCAAGACAGCGTGGGGTCCTTGGAATGGACCTGCCAAAGTGCTACTGTAGTTATTTATACCATCTCTTGAATCCTTCCCAAACTGAACGGTTTCTTTTCTTCCTTTTAAAAATCCACTTCATTGCAGACTTCAATACGCTCTTACTGTTGTCTAGGCTTGTAAAAAGAATTCTTTGTTCTCGTCTCTGAGAATTTCTCAGCATCCTCCCCTTCACCAAAATGCTGAGCTGTTATTTGTGTTTGTGAGCTTTTCAAGGCAAGCAGGTGTGTCCTTATCCATGAACTGACTCTTGACCCATTCAAGTCAAGAAACAAATGGTAATAAGAAGCTGTTTTGCATACTCTCAAAACACCTCTCCTATAGCCTACCAGGCAAAGCTCATCCCTTTTCCAGATGAAGGCAAACTCATTCTTCTGTCCTATAACCAAATTCCCCTCCCTCCTCAAAAATCTATTTCATTGACCCATTTTTGGTTTGGGTTTGTTTGTTTTTTTTTCATTTCAGGTAAGAGGCTCATATACTTGCCAAATACCCAACTATGTCTTTCAGAATTGAATCATCAGAAAAAAGGCCCAGGAGCTAGCATGTGATGATCAGCACAAACCCAGAGGTTTGCAACAGTTCCTTGCTTGGAACAATGTAGCCACAAATTGCTCAGAAACATACCGCCTCAGTACACACTCCTCTACCTGCTAATTGGTTGGATTAAAACAAAAAAAACTTTTAACATAAACACTTCATTTTCAGTCTTAAGAGCAATTCAGAGGGGGCTCTGCATCTTGCAATCTCCAAACTGGGATATCGAGTTGTTTAAGAGTCTCCACCTCTTGCAGTATCTGAAACCAAAGCACCAGTTCCACAAAGGTCTTGTGAAAGAGCTTACTCCTCTTCTGTGCTCCAGACTCCCTGCTGTCTTCATGAGAGATACAGTCCTACAAGGACAGCTGTAAAGATGCCCTCTCTAGATGTTTTTCCTCACATGAAAATAATCTTCACTACTTATGTTAGTGATAATGCTGGATCATTTTAGAATTTAGAACCCAATTTCCACTTCACTGGAAAAAAAAATTGCTAAAAAAGCAATTCTGCTACCAACAGCCTACTTCTGTACCATAATCATGGGGGGTGGGGGGGAGAGGATAGTTTAGCGCTTTGTGCATAGGGAGTTACTGAAATATGAGTTAGAACCTAAATACACAGCATTCGGTCTTCACCGCAACAATCCCCATGTTTTCAAACGCTGGAAAGAGAAGGTAACTTTTAAACTGGAGTAAGATCCCTTGTACTACCTGAATATGAGTCCAGAAAGAAAATTAGTACATACAAAATAAGCCTTAACTTCTGCCAAAAAAAGATTAAGATACACTAAACCCATTCTGTGAGATAAGAGAAAAAGATGGCTAATCCCATTTCAGGGTCAGCCCTGTTCCCCCACAGCCTGAGACTTGTTACCAGTTACCCATGCGATTAAGTTTATCCAAACAAGAATCTTGTTCTTGGGCAAACAATATCAATAAGTGCCCATAATCATGTGTGATAGCTTTAAGGATCCTGTAACAAAGGTGCATTTCCAGGAGAGCACGAACTTTGGTTTTGTTGACATTAAAAAAAAATAAAAATATGGAAGTTATCCACGTAAGTCAACACAGAATTCAGACGCATGTTGTCTGTAGTGCACACCATTCTGTGAGTTTTCCTATGTCCCACGTGTCAATTGACAAAATCTTTAATATAGTATGATATATACAACAATAGATCTATTCAATATAATGCATGATGAGCATTGTTTTGGTTTTGCACAGAGAGCGATGACCAATAGGGTAGTCTAGTACTTGAGAATCTCTTGTTAAACCTTCCACTGTCACATCTTCCACTGTATTTCTGTGATGCAGATAAAAGGGTTTTTCAAGTAATTAAATTTCTCTCACATACCTTTTTTATTTCAAGAGTTTTACTTAAGTTTGAAGATCATATATTACTTACATTTACAAGCACTCTGGACTTAGCTTTCAAGCTTTATACGTGTTTCCTTTTAATTGTGCAACTCATCACTGCTCTTGCCAATGACATTAAACTTACGCTTCCACATAGAATTACTTTGGGCAGGGAGTATTTAATGCATCTGCCTAGCTTCCAGATCAGCACCCCTTCTGTAGTCCAGCACCTAACCAAGAAATTACAGCTTAGCTCAAAAACTCAGCCTGTCACGTGGCTTGTTTGGAGTCTTAAGCTTGTTAATTCTCTAACAGTCTCTGGTACGATCTCTGGACATAGACAACATGTATATTTGCAAGGTGCCTAGAACAACGGGGGTTTGTTCCACAGGGCAAAGGAATTATTAAAAACCCCAACCAAAACCAGTTATCGTATTTTTTTGTTTAGTACAGTAATTTAGGCCAAGCTGTGAAGACGACGTAGGGTACCTTAATACTACAAATATATAAAAACTGAAATCTTGCCATTTTGGCATTTCTTTTGTTGGCTTTAAAACAAGAAACACTACTGTAGTACAGGATAGTATCAGTTCATGCACAAGCAAATGAACAAGCCAACAACCCAGTAACTTAGGCCTGAAACAGATTTTTTTTTTTTTTACTTTTATTTTGATATTCTGCCAAATTCATTATATTCTAGAACATGAGGGCTAGAAGTCAAGTTAACTTCAAGACCATACAAAAAAAAAAAAAAAAAATCAGTGAAATTATTGGGGTTTTTTATATGCAAGTCTTGAAGTTCACATTCTTACCATATTTTCGAAAAAAACACAAGGATAACAGTTTTGTTTTGTTTTTTTTCTCCAGGCAGGAACATTATCTGGAATGGGCAAAAAAGCCACCTTATAGCTTTCTGGCTAGTAAGAAAACGCAAGAGATGCGGGCAGCAGCTTTCTGGAGTCTGGTCTGACAAGAGGTTCATCTGCATACTTCAGTTCTCAGATAAGAAGAATTCTATGACAACTTCTGAAAGAGGCTAGAGAAATCTAGTTTTGACTCAAATTAAAAATAAATAGATGTAGAATCCCACTGAATTCACCTGGAGATGGGTTAAACTGAGACAGAATCAAGTTTAACTGGTTAGGGGTGTTTCTCTGGTTCATCTCTTCTCTACAAGTGGGTTAGCACCATGGTGCACCCAATAGGTGCAGCACCCACCTGCACACTCGAGGCATATGGGACCAAGATCTGCATGCATAGCATCACCTCCTTCCTTTAAAAGGAAACGGAGGCATGCAGGCACAAAAGGAGGTGCTGCGCGCTCCAGTGGCTCTACCAGCCTGAACTATTAACACTGCGCAGTGCACCTGCACAGTGCAAATACAGTTACTGAAAGATGAACCGATGCAGAACTTTTTTCCTGAAGAAACCTATCTTTGCTCAGGCAAGTAAGAAATACAGCGGAATCTATGATCAAGTGCAACCTCTAAGATTTGGGACTTGATACCAGAGGCTACAGCAGTCAGAGATATATTTTAACACAAGTATATGACAGTTCATTTATTAGACCACTGATCTCAAACTTTGAGCTAATTAATCCTATCAACCTGCAAGATTTCCTATGGGCCACAAAACTTCATAATATGAATATCTAAACTGGATGCTATTTTTTTTTTTTTTCCCTCCTTTCCATGAACCACAGCCTTGAAATCCCAGTGTTCAGAGCTGTCTCTATCAAAACAAGTCCTCTTATAAAGTACAAATATGCTAATACACAAATCCAGTTATGGGAAAATTAACTACTGGGATTACAATCTTGCCTGGATTATCCAGCTTTCGGGAGGAAGGAGTCACAAAGCTGATCACTCAAAAACATTAGGGAGCTCAACAATCAGACTATGAATGACTTGAAAGACCTGAAATGACCACACCATCTGAGGAGAACATGCTTTATGCCTCTTCCGTGCACAGGACCACAGAGCATTGAAAACACACATTAATCACTAGCATTAGTCAGAAGTAATTTCTGATGCAGAACTGAAATTTTGTTTTAAGTAACAGAAACAATCCTCACAAAAGGCTCTTCCAGGGGATAAAAAAAGAACACTATGGCTTAGATGTAAAAGCATTCCTCCTGAACAGTGCACCGGGCACCTTAAAACTTGCATTCCTTCTAAACTGAGGCACTAGCACTCAGATGACTCAATCCCTGTAAAAATGAGAAGTCTGCTTCTGTGAAGCCACTTGAGCATCATGGTACAAAATGCAAAAACACTCCACATAACAACAGCCCAAGGTCTCATGTGTTCTCAAATTACTTACGCTCTCAAATATATGGAAAATAGTTTACCTGCATATTTTGTGGTGTTTGATTCATCCATGGACCAGAAGCAGTGATCAAAGGCAAACACCTGTAGAAGAACATAAAAAGACAAATTAGGAACTCTGGCTACAAGACATTTTTCTTAAAGCAGTACAAATCCATGACTGTTTCATTGCAGTTAGGCTCTACTGTTTCTATGGATCCTAAATCAGAACTGTAAAAAGGCTTCATCAGCAGGAATACTTTCAGGAAATCTTGAGAGTTGCAGAACTGCAATACTTCTTTTCTATCTGTATTATACACAATACAAAAATACTGCTTATTGTATCCCTTAACACAGACTTCAAAACACAGCCAAAACCTAATAATTAGTTCCACTCTTCTCCAGGCACTAATGCTGACAAAAGTTTCTGCTAACAGTAATGAAACAGCACCGAAAGGACTCAATATACAGAACTTGGCAAGATGGCTATTTAGCAGACATCAATACAAGACACAGTTTTACCACAGGTTGGGACTTCTAATGCTCAAAGGAGAGCATTACTACTTACAAGCCTTAAGGAGCAAATAAATAGTATCAGATTACCTGCCTAAACTAAGAGTACAGTACTGGATCTCAGTAGAGGAAGCGCAAAAATTACAAATAGAAAATGTAGCTCTATTAGACAAACAAGCTATCAGAGTCTGCTCTAATGAAAAGACTTAATACCACTTCAGTCAAGAGTTCCAGCTCAGTAGAAATCAAATTAGATTCAAAATTGTGCTCAGTGGGCTTGTGGACCTGGAACAGTGCCCTGTAAAACCACTTAACGCGTTGGGATTTGATCCAAGTTACTATTTCTGCACATCTGAGAACATCATGGTATAGACATTTAACACCTGTTTTGACAGCTTTATATTGCCACAAACACACCTTAAGCTGCAGTGTATCTTCCACATTTTACCATGGTAAACTGACTGTAGATGAATTAATGATATAGATTCGATTTATTTTTTTCTTTTGGGATCCCAAGAGGTAGGGAAAAAACCCAAACAACCTTCTTTATTAAAACTTTGCCTGGGCCAAGATTTTCTTTGCCTGGTCTTCCAACAGCTGACCTCCTTAGTGTGACAAACCATGCAGGTCAATGTAGAGCAAGAGCCACAGGCTCTATTAGCAGAAATGGCAAATTCCCCGTGAGACGAACCCTGAAGTGAGGAAGAAGATGGATCATTTCCTTTTGGCTTTTGGGGATGCAGAACATCTTGGATTCCCTGCTATTGCAGAATTACTATGCAATCTAATCTACAGATATATTGTAACCTAACTCTTCCCAAAATTTCTGCCAATATTTCAGAAGGATAAAAACCAGGCAGCACAGTAACCTCACCTCCTTCCCTTTCCCCCAACTTAACGCAAAACACATCAAACGGCCTGAGAGAAGACTTGATACTGAGACAACACTTAGTCCACAAGAGCGAAATGAGTTCTGGAATTCCCTTCTGAAGAGAAAACAAACAAAAAAACCCATAATAATAACCTAACAGGGAGGTCTGAGTCACTTACTGCAGCACAAATAGAAAGAGACGACTTCATGCGTCAGGACCTTCCCTGCTGTGACTGAGTCACAGGCATAGTTTTGCCACTGAACTGCAAGCAATATGCAGCAGTTACTTCACCTTATCTTCAGACCTCCACGTACGTAGGGGGCATTTTAAATTACTTCTGTGCATTTGTTCATCGTGCTTCAAATCTAAGCATAACGAACTCTGTCATCAATAAGAACGTTCTAGCCCTTTTCCTAACTTTTACAGCCCAAGAAATAGTGTTTTCTCTTCTCACATTCCACTTCTACGGAAGTTTTCCTCATGGGACTTGGTAACAATACCTAATCTCTCTACAGTCAAACGGCAAGCAGTTCAATTACAAAAGAAAACCCAATTGTAAGGATCCAAATCTACCAAATGCCAATTCCTTCCCCTTGAAACTAAGTATTTTCTGCAGTGGATCACACAGCCCAGTTCAGAAAGGTTACCCAGCTACACATGCTCATCTGTAATGACTTAAAATGTCAATACAGCAGTACTGTAGACCAATTTAATCTATTGTCCTACACATTTTCCCCTTGGTTAACATGGAAAATCATGACAGGATTATTCAATGACTCATAATTTAAACACTGATCTTGCAAAGAAACTTTAAAAATTAAAATATGTGCTTGCAGCCAAGTGTTTCTTGCAGAAAAGCAGGTTTTATTTGGATTTTTTTTTTTAAAAACGTAGGAAATGGTCAAACTGATTTTTAAAAGCTGCAAAATGATTATGCAATAGGAAGAGAAAAATTCTGTCTCAAGATAAAACAAATGCAAATATAGCATTTTAGTATGTTTTTATACTAAACATAAAAAGCCAAGACACAGACTTAGGCTATTTATAAAACGTGTCCTGGAAAATTGCCAAATCCTTCTAACAGAAGTAACGAGATTACTTAAAAAAAAAAAAGTGGCAAAAAAAAGTGGAAACTGCTGGGGCATGCACTATCTGCAAAACACATAGAGCAGCTGCAGTAAAATTCCCTTTTCCATTAAAACAGGCAGGCAAAACTTTAAAAATTACTTTGATCGGTGATGACAAAACACCAACCTTGAACATTCCCAGCAACAATAATTTAAGGAAGCACCCAACCAAAGCAATTTTCAGGACAACTCAGACCTTTGGGAAAACAGATTTTAAATGCAAGAATTAACAGAGTAAGAAATAAGGCATACAAGAGCAAGAAACTTGGTCCCAATCAGTGAGGCTCTTCCGCAGGTACATAACAAAGGCATTTTATGGGAAATGCCTGTAGGACAGCATCCTACCTGAAAAGTGACCATTGCGATCATCCTTTCTATATACAAAGATGACTCGCTAGTTTATATTTTCCTGACCTCCAGTGCAGGAACTGCAGGACATACAGTCCCAAGAAGAGCACGCAACCATACTTGGGGTCAAGATACAGAACCTACGCTATGATGAAGAAAAAACCCTCTAAGTATCATCTAAGGTGCTACCTTCCTTCTCCCATCTTCACTGATTATTCTTCCTTGAAAACAAAAATGGTGGGAATTACTTTTTCTTTTGATAGAAGTATGCAGAATAATAATTTTTTCTTATTCATTTTTTCTCCCCAAGATCCATTTCCTTGAAGAAGGTATTAAACCTCCTGTCAATATGACTATCAAAGCTATCAGAAGTTCTGTTAATGCTAAAGTCTCAGACTCAATGGCCAATACTCAAACTGGGCATTACTGGGCACTGAAAATGCCTTTTTAGGTTTTTAAAGAACACTCAAAAGTAAAAATCTTTACCAACTTATATCAAAACTACTATTGAAATGTATTTGAACAGAGAGATCTGTGAACACACAAACAGAACTTTTTAAACTCTAAGCACCCTCTGTGAATTAGTTTTTAATTACATTTTGGAAAATCTATTCCATTTTTGTGTTTTAACATTAAAAGAAAAAAAGGCAAATATTTTTTGTTTGAAACTCAAAGTTTAAAATTGCTACCTGTATCTCCACTAAGATTTCCTGAACTTTCAATTATTCTTCTAAGCATTTTGAGTAAGTCTCTGTGACTATATGGACGAGTTTTTTCTGCTTTCCTACTGCTCTGATGCCAATTCCATAGCCACTGTACCAGGAAGCTTAACGTATTTTCAGAAGGTAAGCAAAATGGGAAAACCATGAAAGACAGGTATACACCTACTTCAAGTGTCTGCACAGGTTGGCATTCAACCACAAGCAGATCTAAGTTCACACAGGTGTTGGCCAGTTCTCACAACCAGACCCAAAATTATTCTGGGCTTTTAAATTAGAGAAGGAAATAACAAACAAGCCTTAAAACTTTCTTATTTTTGCAAGATTCTGTACCTCATACTTCATCCTAGCATCTAAAAGAGAAAGCTAGATAAGCTGCCAGGAACCTGCCACACTAGGGTAGTAGCTTCTAAACCAAAAATTTTGAGTGGAACTAGGAGACTAACAGGACGGGTTTTTTCCCAGCTCTATTATTCCAGTGTTTGACATTGCACAGTATTTTCAGTCTGAGTGGTATGACAGTTGGAAAAAAGTTTGGACATCGCATTTTAGACATCTAGAAATAGTCAAGTAACAGACAGAGCTACAAGTAATGGAATACAACTCACCAGGACAGATCTTGCACAATTGGAAGTCCGTAGTAAAAATAGGTATACGAGCTTGAGTGTGTACGCATTCTATATTCATCATAAGAATTTTAACTCACAAACATTACAGCACAGATAAAAATGGAAAGTTATGAGAAAGAATTAGCCAGGAAGTGCTACATCATGGTACTACTGTATCCAGAGTCACCATAAGCGTGCACATTACCCTGGGTAACAGAGTTACGTAGGCCATTTCTAGGTTACAGAGCATGATACTCAGAGTGTTAGTAACTATTAAGAGTTAAACAAAAGACTTGTTCTGGTAACCACAAAGTTTAAGTAAAGAAAAGATATGGGGCTTTGATTCAGATTTCTTCAACAAACACCTACAGCAGCTTAAGACAGCTGTTGGTTACTATTTTGCTAACGAGGCAGCTAGCGGTTATGGCTTCCACAGCAAAACAAACAGTGATGCAGGTCCACGCATCCACCACATCAGTAAAAAAATCTGGAGTTTTGTCTCAAATTCAGCTGTACCTGTGGCTGAAAGTGAGATTGCAGATTTTAAACTAGAAGGGCCATTGTGCCTCACTGCTACACAGCAGTTACTTCTCACAGAATCAGAAAAGACAGCCAAGCAGTATTCACATTTTAAATAGCCAAAACAATATTCTGCAGAACTCTTTTTTATTAAAGTCCCTAATCAATGGCTTGAAGAATTAATAATTTTAAGGGTTTACGCATGCAAGTATACTTATGTGAACCACTTGCAGGTAATGAGTACCATATCCACTGTTAAGTGCTTGCCAGATTAAGCCAAATGACACAGTTAGTTTAGAAAAGAGTCTGATTTCCACATTCATTATCAGTTGTTTCAAACCCTAATCCTCAGTACAGACTAGACAGAGTCTGGGGCTTCCCCCATTTAGCAATGCAGTACCCAGACTGAACGTAACCCCTAACATAGACTGTCTATGCATCTATACAATATTGTAAGTGCATAGCTAACATGTTTAATAGCCATTTCCATCTGACCGATAGATGGCCAAACAACTATGTTTTGGTTTTACAGAAAAAAGTTACGCTGGACAGGTGCAGACATCACTCACATGAATCTCAATGAAACAGTCAGTCTGACATGTAGGGTGACTTACAGAGCTACATGGTTGCCAAAAATAAAAGCAAGGGAGAACTGAGGAAGGGAAATTTTCATTCATACATCCCTATTGGAACTGCTGATGGAGATAAGTGATAAAGGAGATACATTAGGAAATGGCAAACAGTCTACACTGGTAAGCTTAGTGTAAATGGAAGCCATTAAAGAACTGAAAAAGAACAAAGTTGGTCACTGTATGGAAAACTCAAGACCTACAAAAGGCCTAAAGAAGTAAGGACAGAAAATCTGAAGGCAGCCTAGGGCACAGCTCACAAATCTCAGCTCAGAACAACCGTTCTACCTTTGTCACAAAGTTACACTAAAAGCCCAAGATCAGTAATATACTTAAAGATAACGTTTGTAGAAATAGCAAAACACCCCAATATCCTTATATAACTTTTCCTACCACAGCTTCTGAGCTACCAGGCTGAACTAGGATGACAGTTCATCCACAGCTGATAATAAAGTAGCTCGTTAAAGTAAAGAAACTTCCAATATTTATGAAATTTCATTTTTAAAAAAAAATCCTAATTTGAAGAAGATCAACTACGTGTAGTACCGTAAAAACTGTATAAATCAAGAAACATCCATATCTCACATCTTTACAAACTCACAAAGCCTATTTCCACTGATGGCAAGAACCTTCTTCTGTCTCAAACTGATAAACATTTCACACATCATCTTAAGTTTCAGCATTATGGCTCAAGGACGTTAATGACCATCTAACTATACCTAACAATAATGTGGCATATATGCACAAACGTGCAGCTGTTACGTTTCTGTCGAAGAAACACAAGGCCATAATTAAGCTTCTACATAATGCCAAGAATAACTTTATCTGCCTATAATGGAATATGAATGATGTACTACAGAAAATGAAAGTTCTCATAAAAAAGTTTTTGTGAAATTACAACAACAAAAAGGAGGGGGTTTTTGCTTTTTTTAAAATTTGTAACAATGATCAAACTTTTTTGTATTAGATATACTAACTGGGACTGATAGAAGAACTTTATTAAATGCTTTCAAAAAAACTGAGAAACTAAAAGCAGGTCCAGGAAAAAATAAATCAGTACAGGATACCATTTTAAACTGCAATATCAATGTTATTCATTTTCACCTGCTGTGACCTCAAATTACATATTTTTGTTTGTTTTTTCAAATATGATTATTTAAATTCATGTTAAACTATTTTGTTCCATTCTTCCCTGCCTATTGGGAATAATACACATCACTTACTGAGAAGATGTTTTCTTGTGACTTTTAAAATTAATCAAAACAATAGATATTTAGATTTTTTTATATATATATGCACACGCACATATAAAATAGCTGTCTGAACTATATAGTAGATGGATATCCATAGAAGACAGATATATAGATCAATATCCATCCCAATTTCTATTCCCAGAAGGCCTACAGAATGCTCTGCCACACCTGCAGAAGTCACATCAGACTTGCATACACTATTTCTTGAAGATCTACAAATCAAAGAGAAGAATGTAAAAGAAAACCTCATTCAGAGCTAACCACAGCTTTCTGCTGTAAAAAGTACCATCCAACAGAAACAGAAAGGATAAAATTATCATTAAATTGCTGAAGCAAAATACCAATACAGAGTTTTGCATGTGCTGACAAGATGTAGTTCACACAGTCCTTTTACCTTATGATTGCTACCAGCCCTGTACCGATACTGTATTTGTCATCCCGGTAAGGCTCCTTCTCTATCCAATAGATACGTAACACTCATTCTCCCTCCCTTCCCCTGCATTACAAACAACACAGAATCTTTTCTAGGCAAATTCTGGTGCACTTTGGCTACTTTTACACAAATTATTAATTCCTAAAGATTGTCAATTACAAACAAGAGCAGTTTGTTTCTTACTAGATGTATTTTGCCACCTTTTAAATACAATATTTTAACTTTTAAGCAGAATTATGTGCAATGAAATATTTTACACACAATACTTATTTACTCTTTCAAATGCTTTTATGAATGCATTAAAATAACGGCTTGTCCTGGTCACAGCTTTAACAAGTCATGTGCCTTGCCTGCATGTCAGCTGGATTAAAATGTATTCTTCTGGAATTATGAAGTCTTTAACTTAGAAGTATGAGGAATAGATTTTTTTAAAATGTATTTTCCTTTATTAAAGCTGTATTGATCACATGCTACGGGAACACGCCCAATATTTCTGCATTGCTCAACATTTTCAAGCAGGTACAAATGCAAAAAGAGACAAAATACTTACCTTAGGTGGTTTTCTAGATGATTGGCAAAAAATTATCAGCAACGATGACGAGAAGTACGAATACATCATTCACATAAAGGGAAGGGAACAAAGAAAAAGAAAAGAAACAAAGTCAGTGTACATCATTACAATAGTCTGAACTTTTTTGTAATCCACAATGTATTTAAGAATAATCAGATCAGAAGATATTTATATGATACACCATAGATTTTTTTAACAAGTAATTACTTAACTAGTAATACTGCCCCACGTTAAAAAGAAAGGAAAATGCCAGATTCCTTATAGGTATAAAAATCTAACAGCACTGAGTTCCAGAAGGAAGACAAGCATCCGTTTTCTTTGTTGTGGAAGTCAAAACACAGCCCATCTTGTGGCACACAAACTGAGCCTGCAAACTGGCAGACCAAGGTGCCAGGGTGAAGTCCCACTGACTTCAGCAGTGCTAATATGCAAGACCAAGGTCAGAGTCACACAATTGTTTCTTGTAGAGATTATAGAAGTGTGAAGAAAAATAAACCTCTGTTTTCCCTAGCCACAGAAAGCCTACACAGAGCATAGTAAGCCAACGCAAAACCACCATTACCCTTCACACACAACTCCGAGTGCTGTCACAAATAAAGCAGAGACAACAAACCCCCAAACTAAAGACACCAGCTCAGAGTACTTCAACTTGTCCTTAAATGCTGTTATGCTTATGCTGGCAGCCATATGGCCACACAGTAAATTAAATCAGTTTGGGGTATTTTGGTGGGATTGGTTTCAAGTGAGATCTCTGTCCTGTCTCACTGTGCAGCCCCTGTGCTCACTAATACCAATGCAAGAGAGGAGGTGAAAATATGGTGCAGAATTAGACTGACTTAGGCTGTTCATGAAAACTACAACCTTAGGCATATGTTTAAATTATGTATTGAAATAAGCCTGAAATGACACACAGAAGAAATTTTCACTTGCTCTTCACATGAAGAAAAATAGCATATAAATGTGGATGAAGAAAAAAACCACACAACCAGAAAGGTCTACAGACAAAACAGCACAAGTAGGGAACATAGTAAGGTTTATAAAATAAGGATATGGATGAAGGCTCTCTATCTACCCAGCAAAAGACACACTACACAAAATTCAAAGGTATCAAGAGGCTACAGTCTCAGTGCAGAAACACATGGGACCGAGCCGTGTTTTCATCCAGACTACATATACTAACTCCAACAAGTCAGAGGGGCAGGGGGGAAATAACACTTTGAGCAGTTTTCTTAGCAACCGACAATACGATGGCTCAGAAAAAAAAGCTGAAGAGAAGCAAATCCACAAACACATATTACGCAATCTTTTCTGCCTACTCTCAGCTCGTACCTTAGATGACATGTCTGCCTAAACCAGAAGTTACATAGCTGGCACACGGTACTGGTATAATGCAAACATACTTTGCCTCTGAGCCAAACCACTCATTGCAGCCTTACCCTTTCATTAACGGTGGCTACACAGGCTCAGCTCATAGCTAACTCACGTCCAGGTGGCTCAGAACTTGTGCAAAATGCACTCTTATCTAACTGAAAAATACATTTAGCTATACTTTGAATATTTTTTACTTTAATCAATTTTCGGATGTGATGAAAGTCCAACGTTATCAGCTTGTCTAGCCAGAGTTCCAGCACCAGCTCTAAACTTCCAATTCCTACTTGGAAGAGAAGTTCCTATCGAAGGAAGTCATCCAAGGTTTTTTGGAAAGCTTTTAAGTACACTCATATCTTGAAAAATAATTCCAGAATACATCAGCTTTCCTAGGGAATTCCTGATAGACTGCTGTACAGGTTCAGCAGAAGACCTAAACAGTTTAATTGAAGTAAACACCAACAGAAAGTTTATCAACTTTTTTTCTGAGATCATTCTTCTAAGCCACATTTGGAAAAGGTACAGAACATCACTGAAGTAAACAAATGATTTGACACAGGTTTTAAGACATTTACTTAAGCAATGCAAGCCACTACCTTTTAGGAAGTTTCCTCCGATGCCCATTTTAAGAAAAGCATAATAGCGACTTTTTAAACCATTGGTGGACAGCAGAGCTTCCCAGTTGGACACAAGATGTTCATCACTGATCTCCTGGATTTCAAAGCACCAGGAGCTGCAGCTTCCTACCATATGTCACATCCTACTGCTCCAAACTCTTCGGCTATTAAGACCAAACTAGCAACTCCACAAGTCACCTGCTAGCATCACCAGCAGCGACACAATCAAGGGTCTCTGGAATAAGTCAGCTATATTGTCTCACAGGACAGATTTTTTTTTTTTTTTTTTTTTTTAAGCTATTTGGAAATTCCAGGTAACCAACTCACTGTAACCATTATCCTGGCAGTGATTCAGATGGAGACACTCCGAAATACTTTCTTCAATCAAAGGACTCAGACTAATAAAGAACGAACTGTTTCCAGTTTACCAGAAATCACATCTGTAGCAGCTTAAAGATGAGCTATAAAACCTGCATTAGCCTCAATCAATTTTTCACATCAGTTTTTTGGTTTGCTTTTTTTTTTTTTAATATGCGCTTCATGGTTTCTTTCCCAGAAACCAGCAGCTTTCGGCTTCATAAATAATTAGATTTGTCTCAATTTTCACCAAACACTGACCATACAAACGTGGTGATTCAGTGTCACACCTGGGGCAGGGGGGGAGCAGTGACAGAGAGCAGATGACAGAGATAAAACAATTAAGGATTTTTATTTCCCAGAATTTTTAATTCCATGTCTAATCATCCATGGTGTCAATGACAACATGCAGGTATACCTTTTGAATGACAACAAAACCTCCTCTAAAGTGGACAGCTAGTACACTTCAGGAAATTATCACTGAGTTACGTCACCATGTGATGCATCTGCACAACAGCGGATTTTGGTTTAACCTGACAAAGGGCATCTTCCATCTGCACACTCAGATGGAAGACTGACTTTTCTCACATGCCTAGAACTCAAAACCAAAGTACATACCGCCAAGAGCCTGAAAAATATTCTCACAGGTCAGAGGAAAAGTATGAATTTCAATGACCACAAAGCCCACTGAGCTTCTGAACTTTCTCCTGCCTTTGTCCTTAAACCACCACGACTTTAGTAAAACATCACTAGAATGATTTTCTGAGCAGTATGTCTGCTGAGGTCTACTCCTAGAATCTACTCAGGCTTTATCTTTCACAACAGTATTAAGCCTCTCCTGTCCTCCTTGGCTAACACACACCAAGACTGCAGAGTGCGTAGCTATCTCAAATTTTTATCTAGATGGAGAAAACCAATTTCTAGAAAGCTTTGTGCTAATGCAAACATGGTTTTTTTCCTGTTGTCTCTTGCTAAAACTAAACCCATAATGGTTCTCACATTTGCTAAGAGAATTAATTCACAAAATGTCAGTTCTAATATTCTACACTAGTACATGAATGAGAAGTCTTCCTGACTGCATCCACATTTTCCCTCTACCATCTACCCACTGCCTGTGACAGCCCACTATGAAAGGAGTGCGCTTTGCTAGTAGTTTAACAACAGCAAAGGTTGTTTAATCTTTTTTTTTTTTTTTAACTGCCTACACTATTTCACAGGACTCTCCCTTTGTCATATAAAAAGTTTATATAAACTGGCATTACATATTCTGAGTGGAAAACTAGTCCCATGCAATAGGAAGCAACAGAAGACACTCTTGCACTACGAGCATCCAGAAGTACACGATACTGTCATCTTAAAGACTTAATCATTTTCAGAACTACACCTGTTTTTTGTCCCTTAGCAAGCGTTGTCAACATTCCCAACCAAATGTCACTTCTACCAGAGGAAAAACATTTTATACATCAAAAAACTTGAAAGAATTGGTTTTTCTCCCCGTTTCATATAATGGGGTTTCACCACCCCACCCACCCCCAGTCAAAAATGTCACCTTCAGTAGGGACAAGGTACGTTTTGAAAATGAGAACACAGGTGTAAAACCAGGTACTCCACATCGAAGGAGACAGAGGAACACGGCATCTTTGAAAAACAGGTCTTAGATTCTTTGGAACAACACCCACACAGCCCAATTCATCTCCAATTTGGCTGTGCTAAGAAGCCAAGTAGGTCACAATTGTACTATAATTATTTCACATTTTGGAAAGTATTTGATGGATTCTTTTCCTTTCTCACAATTAGTTAATGAAGATGAAGCAATCATAATCAGCTATGTTAAGTAACCACACATAGTATCTATCACAGATGATGAATGAACCACATGGCATTGCAGCTTGCTCTTCTAAGCTGACTACGCCAGAAATCATCATCTAAGACACTGAGTCTGAAATACCTTTTTGCTCTCGTCACATGTGCAACCACAGTAAATTCATGGTACTCACTGTTCTCCCAAACATATAATTAAGTGTTTACAGGTAGTGGCTACATAGTCATCAATGTACTCATCAGGATCACTGGTCGAAAGAATTATTACAAACAACTACCAACATACTAGAAAAGGGAGAGAAGTCTTCAGGTTTTTATATGCTAAATTGAAAAAACAGTCTTCCTTCTTTCCTCTGTAAGATCATCCTGATAGATAAAAATAGTATTTTTTTACATTTATTTTTGAGCTCTCTCTAACAGCATTTGGTAGCCACAGTTTCCAAAATTTGGTTTCCACATATTCCTCACGTGCAGTTTATTCTGTTGAGAATTCTGCAGTACTAGAAAATTAATGACTTCTTTGTACAAGCCTACAGCCTGTTCCCAGTTACATCAAGTCACAACAGGTTATCAAACTTGTTATGCTTTTATGCATATGCAAGGATGTAGCTTTGCACTCCTCCCCTCTTCAATTTCAGCATGATCTCTTCTCTCACCACTGTTCCAGCATCTCTGGAATCTAGAGACCAGCTGTTCAAAACAAGTATTATAGTATTTTTTTAGTGTGTTTTTAATTTTGTTTTGTTTTTTAAATCAGGCTGCCTTACAACTCAGGCTGAAATATCACCAGCAGTGTGTGTTTGCCTCACTCAAAGGCAGAGTGCAAGGG